TTGTAATCTGAATACACAAATCATTTTTTCTGTAAACTCACACACGAATGTGAAGCATATCCCATCTTATTTCTGGGATGAAGCTTTATACCGTATAATCCTTATTCGATACATCATAAAATAGCTAAGCTATATGCTCAATATAGCTAGAGCATATCCCGTATAAAATAAGCCAGCTATGCATAGCATAGTCGAGATTCAACGATAGAAAACTCTTTTTCATTTCTTTGAACATCGACAGAACCAGGCAGCTCTCTCTCTCTCTCTCTCTCTCTCTTCTCTCGCGCGTGCTCTCTCTCTCTCTCTCTCTTTCTGCCTAGATCTAATAACATTAAATTACAAGAAATCAAGAGTAGATTGCGACGCATTTGAAAATGCTTCCTGATCCTCTTAGAAACGAGCATCCAAAAGAACGTCGGAGACGAAGAGCGAGAGGGGGAGGGGGTCGCGAGACGGATCCTTCGAGAACCAACATAATCGAATCGGTACGACGGGAATAAGCATTCCGAATGGTTCCAACATTCGATATATCGATTGACCCGATCGATTTCTATTGAGAAACGCGGAGCGAAAACTCAGAATGCTTTTGTGAAGAAGCAAATGCGGAACAAGCATTATCGAGGAAAATGCGGGAGGACTGATTAATTGCGCTTGCAGTTGCTTTAAGATTGATGTGAGATTTTGCGGTGAAACTACATATCATAGCGACTGCTAGAACGTTCCCAAAAGATTGGCACTTTTTAAAATAATGAAACAAAAAAAAACCTCTATATATACTTTATAGGCGCGAAAGCTGAAAGCAGATAGCAACCGTGAATCGGATTAAAAATGGCGGTTAGAAATGGACATTTGCGAGGACAAAAGCGAAAAAGTCGAATTTCTGAAAAATCTCATTGTCATTACAATACTGATAATCTGAGATAATAAGCAGTACATCCCTCGTTTCATCTTGCGGGAACGCTCTCTCACGTTAAATACATATAACGCTTATCATATCCCGTTACGCGGTATCGTTGCGGTATCATTCCCTCTGGCTGGCTCGATTCGCGATTTGCCAGAACATAAGTAGGCTACATGGCGAATACCGCAAGTAGCAGCGACTGCGCCCGACACATCCACGGGAAATCACTCTCAAAGGTATAACGTAGCAATCCTGGATTCGCGGTCGATAACTACGCGCGATATGGCGGCTCAATTACAGCGGCTGCGAACTTTCGCCCCCAAGACGACATTTCGTAGCAACTTACGAGCGTATCGAGGGTAAGAGCCCGGTGCTGCAGCGAGAGAGAATTCGTAGCGCTCGCAGGGCGCGCGCACACAGAGCGACGATATGGGGATGTGTAGTCGGAAAGGGTAGGCGATGAAATGGGGAGACGGAGAGAGAGAGAGAGAGAGAGAGAGAGAGACAGGGGAAGAGATGGAGGCAAGAGCTCTCGCTAGGACGAAGTCGTAAGTCAAGGCGCATAGGCACGCGCGCGTATTCCTTTCTATTGTGCCGTCCCATTAAACATTCGCTGTCGTGTATATAACCGTCATAAAGGAGGATGATAATCTCGCGATGCGCAGTAAACACCGGCGAGTTAAACGAGTGCGCGGATTGCGTCCTTACCTCCCTAGAATGTCGCACAGCGGCGCGGGCGAAGGGAGGGAGGACGGGGGGAGTGAAGACAAGTATAAACGTTTCACCGCCACGAGCAATGCTCGCGGGCGTGGAAAGTAATTTAAGGAGCGATCAAGCTGTCGCCAGCAATGCGGCTTACATTCAGCGCGCGGCCCGCGTTACGGCCAACGCGGGAGCGGAGATAACCAGATACGTAGATCGTATACATATTTCCTTGCGAATAAATCGACGGTATACCGGAGGGTAATAAGCCTCCCTTCATCCCTTACGCCCGCGCGCACGCGCGGTGAGGTGGGATTCACGCGCGGAATATCTACTGTTGTGCGATCACTAGAGTATATATTTAAAGTTGGTGAGTATACCTGAACAGTCGTATCGTTCGAGTAATTCCGACGGATGTGAATATCAAATCCGCGATTAAGAACGGTCCGCGTATTTCGAGCAGGGAAAGAAGGAGAAGAGATTACGGGAGGGAGGAAGGGAGGATCGAAACTGTACGATTAAATCGACGATAATAACGGAAACGTCGACGAAGATCCGTCCCGAGAGTGTTTAACTGTATAGCTCCTGGCGCCGAGGACACTACGGAGAGATAGCTACGCGAACACTTTACAATTTATATTACAGCCTTGTAACACGGGCCCTTCCTCAAGGCCCTCGAGCCATGCGATTTCTCTCCCCGCAAGATTTACTGGTAAAGTTGTTACTACTCTGCCATAAAATATTTAATTAGTTGTCTTAATGCCACTTATTTCTTGCGCGCTACCTGCTACTACTTGTTTCTCCCCGACTCGCCAAACTTTCGCGAGATACAACGAGGCCGAAATATATAACGTGCTAAAAAGGAGTAATTAATATCTCTTCGGTCACATTAATGTACGCATAACATTAATATATATGTGTGACTGCATTTTATTGCTATCGTCACACAGATCTTTTACATTCGTGAGATTTTCACTTGGTGCCGACCGTGGCAGCTGCAATCAAACGATCCAGTTAAATAATTGATCGAGTCACCTAATATTTATCAATTTCGAAAAATATTATTTCCCGTCGCATATGCATCGAGAATATCATCACCGATACACGTCGCGATATATACAATTACTGTAATCGTCCGGAACGTTAAAGTGCAAATATTGCCGCAAGGCATGCCACGACATGTAACGTGTCTAGCGAAATATCAACGACGATACATTGACACGTTGAACGTGACTGCGCGTGTTGCCGAAACGTGAAATAATCATTCGGAGTAACGTTTTGGCGTTATCAAAGGTAAGACGATGATCAGAATGAAATCGCGACAGTGGGCAACCGTGAGAATGTCGTCGCAACGCTGATTGGAATTTAGTATAGAGCGATAGAGACTAGTAAACGTTTCCCGCTTCTCCAATTAAGCTACCCGGGATGTAAATCGGGTTAAGGGAATCCTGTAGCGCGCGTCGTCGACGGGATTCATTCGTTGAGGGGAACACGAACGGCAATTCATTGTTGAGGAAACCGTTAATGTTAGCGGAGATCTTTAAATTAACGTCACCTCTGGGTCGTTTCGTGAAACACGAGCGTTGCACGTAAACGTGAAATCGTAAAAAAAGGATAAAATAATAAAAAAAAAAAACGGGATCAGCCGCGCGTGTCGCTAAATGAATTCGTCCGTATTTGAATCCGGCGCGGGCACAGGTATCGATTACGAGGATTGGACGTGACAAAAAATCGGGCGTCACGAAGATTAAGCTCGTCGGGATTAAGCAGACGTAAGACGCGGCCCCTCCGGTGGAGCACCGGTAGACGCACCCTCGCGGATAAAAACTCATCAAAGTTCGCGCCAGCCAGCAAACTGACGCCATTAGAAGTAATTTATCATTTAAAAGTGGCCCGCGTTCTTGCGCCGCGCGCCACGCTGCGACATATGCGGTATTAACTTTCTTATGACGGGATCCTCTTGACCCGTTTTCACCTTACGTGGTGCACGAGCGTGGCATCCCGCGCATGCAAGTTGGCTTGGCGCGCGTCACGTACGTACGTAACGATCATATTATAATACAGGCATTTATCTGACACCCCACATCTCTGCCTCCTGCGCGAAATAAGCTGTATACGTAATTCCCTCCTAATTATCCGAAAATACAGTCGGGCCGCGGTGTAGTGTTATATAATATTTCGCGGAAAGAAAAATAACTGATCGCTCGAAAATTTACCGCTCAATTTAGCGATAAATTCCATTCGACCGGAACTACTCCGTCCATCGAGTATCGTCCACTCTGTCGGGCGTATATAAAGAAACAATTGCGCAACGGTTATGTGGCAATGAATAAATTCAATCTGTTCGCGATAACCCGTCGGTGTTATTATACGGTCTGTTCCGCTGAAACGAATGGCTCTCACAAATCTCGTTTATTAATGCAGATAGAAAAGTATTTCTCCTCTCTAATGTGGAGACGGCCGCAAGCGTGAAAATGCAAATCGCGAGATATTATGCGGGATATCCCGTCTTAGTTTCCGCGCTAAAATGTTTTCACGAGAAAGAAGAATGTAATGAAAATCGGGATGAGCGATAAAACCGGGGTCGGGCTCGGAAGCGCGGACTTATTTTAACAGTTGCCATATTGTAGAATCGCGATTGCATCGCGATTTTATCTTCCATAACTGCCGAGGGTCTGATATTCTTCACTGTTATTAGTGATATAAGTGAGTGATATAAATAAATGCCGCGTTATTACGCTATTACGGCATGGTGAATTAAACGCTCGGTCAATTGGCCAATTTTTAGCACCGCGTTCCCCCACGCACGCAAGTTATTTTCAAACGAAGCATATGAATGTAATATATGATCGGAATTATATTTAACATAATTATATTTCATACATTTATATTGAAATTACGTTTAATAGAATTTTCAGTAACTTTGTAACTGTTTACAACAAGCTGTTTACTGTTTGCAGTCTAAAAGCACAGATGCGTAATAGCAACGTAATAAAATATCATATTTTAAATATTCATCTACGTGTAATTAATGCGAAAAATACGTATACGCATTTCTCATCGGATTTGCGTAACTGACGATGATAATCGCTATCGGCGGGGAAAATTAACGTGTCGAAACGCTGCCTTAAATCGAGTGCAAATTAAAAGCATTGAAACGATCAGGAAGCGGTCCCCCGAGCTCGTTACACGCACGCAGGATAATTACATGCGATTACACTTCTAACGCGCCACGTTGAAGTATGCGGCGTTATCGGAAAATATGTAAATCAGTGTTATCGATTTCGCGCAAAGGACAGGGCAGGCGGGGGAGGGAAGGAGGGGAGGACGCAAACGCGCTAATAAACTGCGCGTACAGGCATGATAATTATCGATCGATCGCTATTGATATACTTACTTCTTTGCACAACCGCGCTACAAGTCGATCCGCGCTGCCACTCGAATTTCCGCCTCTTATTCTTTCCCTCCGCGCTCTAGTTTTTTCTCTCTCTTTCGTCGAGTCACTCCGTTCGTTTTTCTTCATGCGGCTTCACTGGGAGCCGGCTCTGTCAAAAATCACACCTCTCCTCTCCCTCTCTTTCTCCCTCTTTCTCCCCTCTTATTGACACTTTCCGCCGCGAAGAGATGAGTCTCGCAGTTAGTGGCTAACACGGCCGTTCGTCCCATCCCCCATTCTCCCTCATTGCCGCTTAAACGGTTAAATCATACGATTATCTACTTCCTCCAGAATCGCACTTACGACTCGCCCGCGCGAAACGCTGCCATCATCGTGAAACGGAATCTATTCCGCGGCAGCGCCAAGCATTTCGGGATATTGCTTCAAGTAGCAATGGTCATCCACGGTCGATCAGAGAACGCGTATCCTGCCGGGCTGCTGCTCCACGCGATACATCTGCGAGAGCTCTGGACGCTATAGGGGAGTATCGCTCGACCGGGAGTAATTCGCGTGGAATCACAGTTCGCGATGTGTCGAAACAATTCCTGCGCACCACCGATCTGCAATTTCGCGAACGTGCACGTCAGTCGCTCGGAACGGGGTGAGAATTTCTTGACGCGCGCGCGCGCGCGCGACCGTCCGCTGAATTTATTGGGAACAAATTGTTACGTTCTTTTATCGAAAGTTTTATTGCGAGGGGGAGCAATCCGTTTTGTAAGTTAAACGTTTATATATACGTTTCACGTGCCTTGCGCACACCATTGGAAACTAAAAGAGGACGCTACAAATTGTATATACACGTTTTAGTATTTACAAAAAGATAACGGTCAAGCTGGAGATAACAAACAGAAAGGAAATTTCTCCGTCTATCCAGTTACGTAAGTGGTAGTCCCTCGCTCGCGTTCTAAATGGCCCGAAGCACGTTAAGCGTTTCCGAGAGCTGCTGCACTGACGGTTGTTTACAGCATCAACGCTTTGCAAACACACGGTAGCTCTAAACTAACTGATATTGGATCTAACTAGGAACATATCAAGTTGAATTGGGCATTGTAAAAATGCAAAAAACGCGCTCGATATCGTCTGATCGATAATCAGCTAAAATCCCCAATAAATATATATATATACTGTCGTTATTTAAAATCACGTGGGATTTAAATAACAGATCAGCTCTCTCCTCTATCGCCCCTCGTAAAAAAATCACAGCCCTCGGCGGAAGTCATAAAAAATCTATCGCCGTCTGGCGCAGAAAATTTCTGCATTCGTAATGTCAATTCCATCGCGCAATCGATGGCGCGAATCACGTCATGAAGCCCATACGATCTCTTTTTCTCTTTCACGTAATTTCGTGTGCATTTTTTCGTTTTTCCTCTTTTTTTTCTATCTATCTCCCCTTTGTCCTACAGCCGGATCAGGTAATGCCTCGAAGGGCGGGACCGGACGTGCCCTACTTTTACAGTGACCGGCGTATAGTTTTTAATCCGAAACTAACAACGTGACACAGGTTAACTGTGCGGTAAGATTACGTGCGCGATGTCACACGCCGAAAGGAAAACTCGCATGTTTCGTCGCCACGAAAATTTCAATCGCGATGACTGATCATCTTTTACCCATTTATTCTCACGTTATAAAATCTTTTCGCGATAAGTTATATTAATAATTTTGTCCAATTTTGCAATTCATATATTGCGCACGATAAACGTGACGCGCTATCGCACGTCATATTTCACGAGAAATACAAAATTCGTCGAGCATAATTTCCGCGATCTGATCAAACTAATGAACACGTTGAAATTGTGTGAGAACGACGTCGCGAAATTCTCTAACACTATACATATTTAGTCTCTCTACCTATATATTTAATGTTTTATGCTATTCTGTAATTCGCTTTGCTTAAAACGTGATGATTCGCGTTACAATTATTACATTCGAGCATACGAACGAGAATAGAAAGTGAGAAAACGGTAATTCTTCAGCTTACTATATGCCTTCGATCACTCCACGAATCGCAGCAGCCGATACAACGAAAGCAATTAATTCGAGATCGCGTATTAATTCACGCGTGGTTTATCTTCCTCTTTCTCTCTCTCTCTCTTTTTCCTCTCGTGCACGATCACATGTCGCCGACAGACCCGAGATCCGAAGCACTGAAATTTCACGGTAATGGTTCATCGAGGATTTATCCGAGTGCACCGGACTTTTCGAAAAAAAAATTTTTTTTTTGGCCGACTGCGCGAACGACGTACGACGCGAGTCACTTTTCACAGTGCCGCCTCAAGTTCGCACCAAGATAGTGTTTACTTGCGCGACGACGTTTATTTACCGTCGACGCGACGTGAGATACGGCGAAAATGCGACCGGCAACGCGACCGGCAATCGAACCGGAGCGGCGGCTTGGGTGAAAAAAAAATTGACGGCGTATCGACGCGCGCGCGAAAAAAAAAAGCACGTCCACTTCCGCACGCTCTAGGTTTCTTATGAATCTTTCCGTGGGAATGCTCCGCTCTCGCCCGCTGCTCGTTAGGGCTTCGCCAATGGACTGCCAGGCGCCGCGGCAAAAGCTACGGCGCAACACGCCGACGCATCCACCCCCTTTACAACCCCTTGCGCGGCCTGACTCCCCCGCTTTGCGGCACCCGCGACGGCGACCCACACCGACGGGAGAGTTTTCCACTCGTTCGCCACGCGTGAGAGCCTGTGCTTGCTTTCACGACTTCGTAAAACACGGACGCCGACACGGGGCGATGCCCGTCGCGGATGCAGTACCACGCGGTTTTCACGCGATATAGGCTATCGTGCGCGTCATTAGACGTCGCGTTAATTCGCCCGCTGAATTGCAGAGGGAATGCGCAATGGATCGATTAAATTTATAACAGATACCAATTACGACGGACTGGATGCAACGGTGTATCGCATTATTGCATTTGGACGAAACGGTTAGGAAATGCGTTGAACCTTCGATGGTGATGTAACGGAGAGAAGTATTTGCTGTATCGCATATTGTTACCCCAGGCTCGTCCGCTCATAAATTTTTTTTATATTTTTTTCCCATTATTAACATGGAATATCATGTTGCGCGATTGAAAGTAGACCAAGTATCGTTTGTCACTTTTTGAGTTGCATACGTGAAATATTTCGCGAGATTCAAACCATTTGTAAAAGGCGAAAAGAGCAATATCAAGCACGGTGCTTTGAAGACCGCCGAAATTAAATGCCGACAAAGTGTACTGACACTCGATGGTCTATCGCCCTATGGATATGACGCATTTTGATTCGCATGCTGCAAACTGTACGGCACGTCACTGCACCCGGGGATATGACAGGTAATGTTGCAACACGAAAGAGGATAAATTTGATTTAACCCGTTTCATATTTTCGCCCTCGGGGTATTCAAATGTATCAAATACTTTTGTGCCAATCGAAACATCCACGCGATCGTAGGTCGGCGAGGAGGGGGGAGGGGAGGGGGGCTCGTAATTTGCATAATTATGCAATAACTGTGATGTCAGGCACCCTTCATCCCGCCACATCGGTGGCAGATTCCAGCGTACCGGCGAACAAATGAACGTATATCGAAATATATAAAATTCAGCCTGCCGAAATTATGCGGTGCGATGGCGCAATCGCGACTCCTCTATACTCTCTATGCTATAACATATACTCTTGACATATCCTTTCTGAACTTTGCAAGTCTAAATCTTGGCATCTTAAAAGCAACGACAATCCTTTAACGATAAAAAAAATTGTATAATTTTGCCGAATTTACATTTACTCGCGAGTGGAAACATGCGATAATTGACGTATCTCGTATATTTTTCTATTTAAGAAATTTCTAACTTTAATTCGCGCAATTGTATAGGTAACTGCAAGTATTTTGCAGCTATTACTGTTTTCTCTTTTTACGTGTACCATACCGCGAAAACTTATAAAACATAACAGAATCAATGACTACACATTTGCCCAAGATAGATATAAGACTGATTGATGACCAGCATCGATCAAGTGTTCCGTTCTCGCGAGCTACATTAACTTTATATTAAATACTTCATCATTTTTCCTGAGACACGTCACGCTTCACCGATTTACCGTCGATTCCCTGATCGCGCGCGAACGAGCCATTCTCCGTGAACAAAAGTTACAGATTTTTTTCCTTATTTGACGTGAATTTTCACGCTTCGCGATTCCGCTACTCGTTTCTGCGTTAAAGTATTTACTATCTGATATTTGTTTGTTTCACGCTGCAGTTTGCATACACCTGACTTTTAATACAAAACCGTTTGATATAAAGTACTTACATAATGAGTACAACGTTCACGGAGAGGAACGTCCCGAGATTGATGTCAAAAAACGGCATTTAAAATCGTAACACGGGGGACGCACGCAGAAAGGTTTAACATTTGCATCAATTCGCCATTCCCATTTGGAACGATACAATAAATCGATGCAAATGTTAATGGATCAGGCCATGAGCGTATACAAGTTCGTATACAATGTCGGATACGTCGAGCACGCTCGAAATGAAGTTCTACTTGATTTTGTAAGTACAATACAATAATGGGCGTGCGGCTACCATTTTACATGCCAATTGTCCCACCAAAATATATAACCGATCCCGGTGCGTGCGTGCGAAGCGGTACTTGGTGTATATCGTTATATTATCGGACAGTGTGCTGTCGGCAATGGCCCATCAACATATCGTTACCTGTCTGTCGATAATCATCCCGGGCGCAGCGCGCGCGGTCGCTCGTATCCGGACTTCCGTAATAATTGCATAATGTGCTAATAGCGCTCGTAAAATGATTACGCGTCGTATGAAATGATTACACTCTCCGGTACAACGGCAATTGCGATATCAGACCCGGAGGGCGCAACGTCGATCCGTCCACGCACGCACACACGCACGCACGCACGCACGCACGTACGCATGTACGCATAAAAATCGCGCGTTAATGCGGATAATTTATATATAATATGATAAAATAGGCGCGTTCGCACGTTCCGCGAACTCATATTACAGATAAAGTCTATTTAATTACAAAGTTACATTTTAGTATTCCATAAAAGCGGCGAGTTTTTTAAGCTCGAGACGCGTGCGCTATTTTCGTGCCCGATGTAACATCTTAGACGACTGCAATTTTACCAACATATTGCGTCTACCCCGCGAAAGCTATGCTGGACACGTAGTGGTGAAAGCACGAATCGAAATGCCTCACGAATCATCGGAAGATGTAATGGACTGCAGGTGTGAGAAAACGTGACAGCGGGCAAGCTGCAACAGCATATCCGCAGCGATATAAGATAGAATCGCTTTTACGTAATCTTGTCGGTAGAAATGAGAAATATTCATGAGACTCGAGCTAAATAAGAAACTCAGATCGTATTTGCAATAGTGACGGCGTAATGCAGAGAGAGAGAGACAGAAAAGAGAGTAAAAAATAATATCTCGAAACTTTTTTCGATTGCCGCCTCATCTTTCCGCTTGTGTCTCGCTGCACGTTCCTGCACGCAGATGCGAAATGGAGTGCAAGCACTTGCATCTCTCTGCGTTGCACCGAGCTTTTTGGAAGAGTAATTCAAAGTATAGCGCGACCCTGCGGCGGGTTGCAAGGAGAGGGGAAGGAAGAACGAGAAGCGCGGAATGGTCGCACGTTGGACTCCAACGGAGGAGAGAGGGAGGGGGGAGGGATGCAGCCTGTTTAATTAGCGAGCAAATTAAATGCCGGGACAGCCACATCCGACATGGTCCGCGCAATTAGAGGTATTATAAATTAATTATAACACCGTGACGCAGTCAGTTTTGTGGGATTCAATCTCGGAATGGGCTTGGCGCTGGCGAGCGGAATGAACGCCAAACTTATCTCATTGCCGACCGCTTACGATGCGTTCTATTATTTCATTTTGCTGTAGAGACGTATCTTCAATTACATGTGACTCGAGCGGTATAAAATTGACTTGGCAATACACGCGGGAAAGAGCGTCCAAATCGGGCGCTCTAAAAAAAAGAAAAAATAGGTAAGAGCAGACTCGGTGGATGGTAGTTAAAGATTTATTTCCTCCTCCTAAAAAGAGACGACGAATTTTTGACATATATAGCTTTATCCAATTACCGTTCTAACAATAAGACTTAAATTGTAGAAAATAGCTCGAAACGTTAAATTACACATTGTACACCGTGACGATTACGTCGCGCTAGAATCTCGCCTGCAATCCCGAGGACCGCTGCAGCTTTTCCTCGTAATCGGTTAAGCGCGATTTGTAGCCTTAACGGGAGGGGAGGGGGAGACGGGGTGCAAGGTCGGCTACGCAAATGGCGTAGAACGGGAAACGTCTAAGATTCCCCCAGGGAGGGTACCACGATTGCCAAGCGGAGCTTAGAAGTCTCGGGCAGAATAGAAACCGATTAAGCGAAACAACCGACTGACAGCACCTGTTGATACTTCGCCTAGCTCGTGGCGAAGGTGCGGACTAACAGATACACGCGGGCCGCCGGACCGTCGTCGTTGATGTAAGTTCCCCTCCAGCGTGTGTATATACGCTTGTTTGTGCACCCGTGGCCGATGTCCGGTGTCGTCGCGGTTCCGCGACGCGAAGATGCCGGTCTCGGCGGAAACGAGAGAGAGCTCCGGGTGTACGGAGAGGGACCGGACCCGGGAGGATCGACACGCGTCGACACTGAGAGATCCAATTTTGGGTCGCGAGACGCGCCCCGCGGTAAATTGAATCGCCCCGGACCCTGTTAATATATTCGCGTTTACGAGCGCCTATTACCCTTTGTTCGTGATTCAGCGTGTTACGCGTTTACCCGCGTTAAACGCGCATCGCAGCGCATGCATCCGTAAACTGTTTACGAACGGTCGGATGATGTGCGACCGTCTTTCGACGCTTCCTCTGATCAGAGAGTCCTTTCTCGTAAAATCCGCAATGCGTAATTTACGAGCGATACGTTACCTTTATCGCGAAACTTGCGCAACAAGCGTTTGATGCACGGAGCGTTATTTGTTTTTATTGAAGCACCTTATCGAAAATATGGAGAATTAATAGAGTTCGAGTTACACGCGATTGAAGAAGAAAAAGCTTTATTGTGTTTCGAGATTCATTGGCAAATAAATAATAAGATCTTTTCATTTGCGTAATCTAATTCATTTTCGAACGAGTCTCAATGGAATTTTAGCATGATGCTTACGCGCAGATATATTCAGTGTTCAAAACTTGAGACTTCGGTGATCCCTCTCTGTGCACATCGTCAAGCTAATTAATCCCGCATAAAGCAGTTCACGGCGAATTAGTTCAAACGATTGTAAAGGCTGCGATTACAGCGATAACATCGAAAAATTTCGTTCTCTCTTTCCGCGGGAATTAGAGCAGAGGAAATTAGTTCGATCGAGCTATTTGAGCGTATCGCGTATTCGCGTGTACGCCGAATCTTTCGGCGTGCGTCGATAACAACAGTAATGTCATAAACAACACGTGCAATGTAGCAAGCGGTACACCGTTGAATCCTGCCGAAACGAACGGGATCCCGCACGCCGAACTTGACTCACTAATTACGTGAGCCAAATGCAATTCACTTCTGAAATCTCCTCTATATGCAATCGTGACGAGCGCTTGTGAGATATTTTTCTCGAATAGGCTACGGAATCCAGTAATATTCATGTTTCATTAATTAAAATATAACATATGTATTCTCTATGAGAGATATTAATCCGATATCAATGTTATATGAATATCCATTATGATACAGAATCAGTTTACAAGAATAAAAGTTTTCATTATAATTTTAATATTTTGCATGCTTTTGTATATTGTAATATATATATATTGAAAAATATTTGCAAGAATACTTTATGTTCTGAATCTGACTTTTTCTTTAGCTCTATTAGTTAATCAATTAATCAGTTTAATCCCAATTAGTATGGGTTTTATACATATTAATTTATACCAGTATAAAAGACCTGAAAAGCTATCCCTTTATTGATTCTTTGTAAAATGAATCAAACAGTATTCGAACAATTTATTTGTTAATACTGTTTTCGACGTTAGTCGGTTAATAAAGCCGTGCTAGCGGCTGAAAGCCGGAAAATAAGCGAGATTCGATTCGACAGCGCGATGCTTGCCGTAAACAGGTTTTGCGCGATTGTAAAAATTCGATAGCCGAAACGAAATCTTGTTTCCACGCTACTTTCTTTTTTCCCCACGAAAATGCTTCCCGTTTTGGTTATTCACTTCCCGTCCTACGACGAGAAACCGGAAATACACTTCTATCTGTTCGAATACGAAAATATTTTTGATATTATCAATTGTGTAGTCGCGTGTATAAAACTGGATCCGAACGAATCAAACGAGCGCGAACGAGTAAACGTCTTGCTTCAGAAAAAGCGAACATGGAAAGAACGGTTTTGTGCTAAAATATCTAAAAATTTAACTAGATTTATGTAAATACAAATCTAAAAATAATGACAGTCAAAATATGTAATTATGTAGGACGCTTAAATTAAACTGGTTGCTAGAATTTCAAAAGCTTTTGCAGCATTATATCTTCATAATGTGCGTTCAATATAATTATTTTGATGGTCTAACATAATTATTTTCAAATAATTAAATTTTTGGACAAATCTGTCACAAAACCGTTTCTTTTTGCGAATGAATGGCATTCCGATTGTTCACGTTACCGATTATAGCAAAGTCAACGCAGAACCTTCTGTTTCGTTGGCCCAATGGAAAAATTCCAAACAAGCGGTCTCTATGAATAGTTATGGTCAATAGCCACGTGGTAAACGGGACGCTCTCAATACGAACAACATCGTGGATTCGTACTCGTTCGCGCTCGTTTACTTGACTCGGTTAAAAGCACAAAACGACTATCGATTTTATTTCGTATATAATAAATATGGAAAATTCGCGCTTTGTTCATACTAGGCGTACCAAATAATAATCGATTGCTGGAACAAATATAATTTCCAAACAATACACGTGTCAAAATCGGAGCGTAAAACATTTTAAAGGTATCTTTGAAACATCTTACATTTCGATTTTGAACATGCTGTCTGGATTGCCTCACGAAATTATACAATTCAAAAATGATAGTTCGACAGTTAGGCATCAATCATGCTGAATAGGAGGCATTGCCAAAATTTATTCGTTATTGTAGAAAAATCTTTTAGTCGATCAATTCATTTATATGAAAAATATTTTATTATTCCATAACACTAAAATTGACTAAAATATCTTATAATTCATCTTGTCCAAATAAAATCTTGGTAATATTAAAACTAACAATTATTAAAATTGTAAGAAAAATAAATCGTTCCAGAAATTTTTTATTATGTCGCTAGAAATTCTCATATTGCACACAGGTGTGAATAAACAGAGTGCAGTGACAAGGTTCGTAACCTACCATGGGATTCCTTTGTCAGTCATCGTGTTCCGTGGAATTTGTGAACACGTGCGGAATAGTAAAGCTTCGCTTAAAATCGAATATGCTAGCTCAATAATCCCGAATAACATCGCGTTCTTTAATAAACAATCCCAAATGAATGTCGGACGTCGAGTTGGAAAAAAAATGAATAGCACGACTTTTCACTTACCGATCGCTACATATTGTCGTTCCACCAGGCTCCGCCGAATCCGCGGCGATCGCGATGCTGCGACAGCCGCCATAAATCCCTTATCAAATAATACTCGTCCGACGAACGCGGAAACCGGCGCGGAAACCGACGCGGGGAACACGGATATAGAAAAACGCGGGCACGGCGAGATACGCGCGCGTTGAATGCACTCGGCCGCGGCCGTACGCACGGTGCATTCGTTACGAATTCAAACGCACGGCTGTTGTTAGCTTTGATGCTCGAAGCGTCGCGTCGCGCGATACAGTCGCGACGCAAAAACGGTCATGGCAGATATTCCGGCCGTGCGGAGTTAACTCCTTCAATGCAGCGTGCTTACGTTACTTCCTTTCGCATTTTGCAGCAATTTTTAGGCGGAAATATGTATACTTGATTATCGCAGCGAGACGATTTGTTGTCAGACGATATGTGCCGTGCGCGAAGACCGCCGCGTCCGCGACAACTCTAGCGACTCTAGCGACGTCTCGCGGATCTCTACTGAACGTGGTTGCGAGTCCTGATCGACGATCGATTCGAGCCTACAGCGCGAAGTTTTGCTCGTCTGATATACGCCAATTTACGCGCCACTATTCGTATGTATATGCAGAAAAGACACGGTTTTGTTGAAGTATATAAGCTAAATACTGCTAACAAGCTTGAAAGTAATTATGTTGGACCGTTGAAATAATTATATTGGACGCTCGCGCGAGCCGGAAATGTCAGAACTTTTTGCAGCATTATATCATATCTGAGCGTCTTACATAATTATTTTTATGATCCAACATAATTATTTTCAAATTTGTATCTAGCTAAATTTTTGAGATACTTTAATATAACCGTTTTTTCCCGTGTATTATATTAATTTAATATTTTTTGATGCGCGTATCTTATTTTATGTTTATGAGCATCTTTCATTATTCATTATATATATTCGAATATTAAATTGAATAATATCAGAGAGATGCAGAGATACGACAATACGACGCGACTGATAATTAAAATCATTCATTTTACACTTCCTCGTATTGTATTTGGAAATATAAAGAGGGTGTATGTATGTGTATATATTATATATATACGTCCAATAATTTTTTTTATTAAAATCTTTATTTTTTTTGTGTTTCGTAGCGTTCTCCTAAACAATAATTAACGTAACTTAACTGTGAAACTGTGGTGTAAGAGAGAAAGAGAGAAGGAAAGAGAGAAAGTATAATGCTTCGATATATTAGAATTATGGAAACTTTCACTCAAATCAGTAAATGGTACGATATACAAGTGGAGCAGATTTAAGATACGTAGAGTAATCTTAATATTATAGATATTGACAATGAGACGACGCGCGACCGATTAACAAAAATTAATCGATCTCTCGGTTGACCAATGAGTTTACGCAAATAGGTACGCAGACAGAGTAGAGACATAAGTTAACTTATGGGTTTAGACTCGAGGATCATCATCGTCCACGTCGAGAAAAGAACGAGATGTTTGGCAACAAAAGGTGAGGGGAAGGCGGGAGAAAAGAGGGGGTTCCGAAAATTTGCGACGGAAACTGAAAGTGTAAGAAAACCTTGATCGCAATCTCTCTCGACGCGCACGGCACACTTCACTTCGATCCGAAAGTCTAATACCCTCGTCAGAAAATGTTACAATATGAGAGAGTTAAGTTATATCCATATACTTAAACACGATACACAAAGTCGTTTATAGTCCCGAGTATCAAATGGATACGATCGAAATGCCACGGTTCAAGCGAAACGCAGATTTTTTTAGTACTTGTCGCTTCTATGTCTTAATTAGAGAATGCGTAGCCAGAAATCTGTAACCAGGTACACGGGGATGTAATAATTTCTATATATACGCTTGTATCGTGTTTTACATACAGTCGCTTCGGAGTCTGCTTATTTATGTTCCGCGTGAACCGGGTGCTCTCCCTTTAAACAAAAAGAAATAATTTTGTCATTACATCAATTCGATTATTCGCACTTTACTTAACGCATAATAAACGTATCCGCATTTGTCAATGAAATGTGGAAAGTGAACGAATGAGCTGGAAGAGACTTTAGACGACTATTTTTGCCACAAATACATCTTGGAATGGGATATGTATATCCACCTTCCCAAATTGGCACCCAATGGCCTTCGTACGAAAAATCTTAAATGGGATCATCACAATTTCATAATGCTTCCGTATTCACAAGTACTTAGAAAGTTTTATCCCATCCGACGCGGATAAATTGCTCGAGTATCTTTTTATTCCCCATGCTCGCGAATCCAAGTATCGCGTGAGAGACGCGATATTTTACAAATGTAACGTGGAAGAAAAAGTACGTTCGAGTGCATCTATACTTTTATCAGTCTTCAAATAGAAAGATTACTTCGAATAACAAAAATTTTACAGCTACGTTACTGCACACAATCGAAAAGGATTTGAGAAATGCATTTCAGAGTTAATAATCGACTAACTTCGAACTTCCACTTGTCCTTTAGGCGCACACACCTTTCGTCAAAGTGTTTTAATCCGGAACGAATCCCTCCCTCGGACAACGTTACGCGGAATTATCGTTATCTTATCTTATTACGCATCTCTCGTATCTCGTTTATTAAATGTAATTAATTCGAACTAATCGCGTGCATCATGTCGACCTTACGTCCGACACTCTTGACATTTTCTGAAATCGTCAACGAATATCGGGCAAGAGTCGAAATGTCGTGTTAAGAAAACGAAGAGTCTTAACGATATTTGTAGCAAAAATACACCATGTCACATTGCTCCTCGCGATCGTACGCAAATTACATAAAAAAAGAGAGAGAGAAAAAATAAAACTTAACAGACGACACAAAGTTTTGGCAAAGAACATAACGCTTAACGACGTCGACCAGTACTCAATGTCAAACGGGTGGCGGCTGTACAAATCGTGGGTAACCCGTTGACAACGAGCTCGATGATCGCACACCTATACTTAAGAGTCTATTATTTATATGACGATACTGCTCATATGATTTGCTCACAAACGAGTTTAATTGTACCGCGAACGAAACTAGTGAACCCACGCTACTCGCTCCAGTTATACCGATAATCATGTGTACTGATACATCATACATGCGTTATTGCCAATAACATATGTACTGCTCCATCTCCATACGATATTAATAGGCGTTCAGGTGTATCCATTCATTCTAACAAAAAAAAAAAAAGCAAACACGATAATTACGCAGACACGTACCCTAACGTAATAATTATAAAAGTAATGAATACCTCTGAAAATAAAAATCCCTGAAGTATAACAGTTAAACCGTCATTTAATTGGTTGTTTCAATTGACGATATATTTACAACGAAAATGACAGGATTTCCTTCGACTCTTACGAAAATTATACGACTACTTGTGATTGATATTCGTAAATGTTCATGTTTGACATTATGTTTGCAAAATGATGGTCGCGGAAAGTACTACGCATTCGAGATTACGTAGGAAGATGAAGCATAAGGAACAGAATGCATATGTGTATATGTGTGTGTACATGCATGTATACGAATCAGGATGTGTATATCTATGTATGTATGTACGAAACAAACTGCATAAATTAGAAGTGCGATACCAATCCGAAGAATATTATCGATTAACGCAATTTTTGCAGCAACTTAACTTCAATGCCGTATTTGTAAAAATGTATTTAACAATAAGATAATTTGGGATGATACGTGACTGTATAAAAACAATCGACTTGTAATCGACGGATACCGAGTTCAAATCCTGATTCTCATTTCATATATGGATGGTAACCCATTTTGGGAATCCATATTCCATTTATGAAATAACAGATATTTTTGTGAAAATGAGTATCCTTAACAGATATAATTGATAGCAAAAATTAGATTCACTAAATGTTACAAACATTATGATATCGTTACACTGTTAATTCTAATGAACAAATTTGCTTTAGAAGAGAGAAGTGCATACACAACACATCTTGGCCATTTACCGCTTACACAAACAATAGTCGATTATTATTGAATGCGTAAAACCGCAAAGAAATTCTCTATTTGCAATTGTTAGAAACATTTGCATGGAATTTATATATATATATATATATATAATTTATATATGTTTTCTTCGAAAACAAATTTGCACATAAGAATTAATTTCCGTACGGATTAATGTTTAGCTCGCGCATCTCTTATTAAAAAAATTATATCTTGCATATACAATATGATTTTATCTTATTGATATTGTGTCATAGAGAAAAATAATAAAGAATAGATTTTTAGAATGGATTTGTCGATGAAATACACAACCAAAACTTTTTAAGCTTCTACTATTGTATTTATGCCCTCTGATCAGAACTCTAAAGAGTACCTTGCATTATGTACATCTATACAATTCCTATATTCGATTGAATATTACACACAACGGAGATATATATGTTGTAGAAAGCTCTAAGCCGTCCCATTCGATAATATTGCAAAAGAAAAAAACCAACGTAAGCTTTTATAATTATTTACTGCATTAAGAAAGAAAACGTACACGCTGCTACAGCATCTATATATCCATATCCGACTCACTCTTATATGTCCTATGCAAAGGATAAACATTCACATTAATTACTGTATTGTATACAATACAAGCATTGTAAGATCTAAGTCTCATCTAATCCAATAATGGCTACGAAATATACTACTCGCCGAATGTAAAAAAATATCGCTTCTCGTGTCAAAAATCTGACTTGATTAATATAGATATAGACAAAATTAGTCTTACAAAACATATAATTAATTGCAAGTCTTCAAAGCTTGCAGTGACTTTTGTAACTTCTATGATCGTACTCTCTAGAGCCTTCCGATGCAAAGCTATGCTTTTATATTCTATTTAGCCATTTTATTTCCACATAATTTTTTTTTCTTTCTAAAGAAACGTTTTGGTTGTGCACTCACATAATTTTTCGATATCGCTTATGAGATATCTGGAAAAGGATTTCAAGAATAGAAGTGATGTACTTTTTTTCTTGAAGAGATGCATTTTCACTACCATTATTTTTTATTTTGCTTGTTTACGGCATTTATTAATAAAGAAATATAAGCCTCATCATTTGAAATGCACCGAACGTAACTGTTGCTTCGTAGAAAATAAAAAAAAGAATGACAATGATAAAACAATAAAAGAAAAACTTAAAAAAATTTGTCATTTACATATGTTACTCTAAAATGTTGATCATAATCTCCTCCCGTTAAAGAGACAGGAAGCACAATTGCGTGAACGCATTTTGTTTTTTCTAAAATAATCATACTGTTTCGCACGTACAACATATGTATCTTCAAGGAGCACATAAAATTACTATACTTGTAATATAGTAACAACTGGGATTCTTGGAACATAAGAATCAATTTCAAGCGAAATGATACCTTACATTTATCGATACAATTCGCGATTCTAACTACTAATGACCGAAAAAAAAAAAAAAAAATATGGATATGTAACCAAGGTATACGGCAGCTTTTTTAGCCATCAAAGGAATTATATACGTTAGATTAATTCAGTATCTTAAGTTACCTAGTTACTGTTGTGTTTGTGTATCAAATCATTATCATAACAATTACTTGTTGGGCACACACCGAATTAAAGTCTCAGCTGTAAGCATGTATCATATTTTCGGTACTTCTTTTCCGCAATCGGTCTTCATTAGCCATCCTCCTTCGGGGGTGTGAACCAACCTGCCGAGACACAAACGCCACATTTTTTTTTAAGTGACGTAACAATTAACGAGCGACACAAAACGAATAAACGCTCACCATTCTTTTCATGTATTTGTACAAGAGACTTGAATGACTGTTGGGCACGCGCCAAACTGTATTGGCCTTGTCCACCACACACTTTGCCAGCGCCGCCTGATCCTTGGAACTGTATACGCGCTTTTCCCTTCACTAACGTCGCTGAAATTTGCATTATAACAGCTTCTACCGTGTACGCCGAACTCCAACCCTGTTTCGTGAGAAGTTCCATACAGATGGCACCTCCCACAAGAACGTATCCACCAGATATGATAGGATGTACGACTCTTACAAATGGAGGTTCGAACGGATAAGTTTCCTACGATAATATAAAACATTAGACATAAAATAACATTTTAAAGGAACATTTAGGGAAAAAGGATGCAAAAGATAAGATTGATGCATTAATCTTATTCGAAATCTTGAATTTAGTCTTACACAAGTAAGTTACCTTGAAAAGCATGTTGAGAAGAATACTGTCTTTGCCCTCTTTCTCTTTCAAAAGAATGAGATCGCTATGAAGTGGTGAGTCAGGATCTACACACATCAATCTGATATTCCATTCATACAAACTGTCATTTACTAGTTCTATGCTATACATTCCTGGAAGAAAAAAAAACGAAATGTATACAGAGTGTTTCGAAATGTTCCAGAATTTACTAGTTCTATGCTATATATTTTTGGAAGAAAAAATAAAATTGTATACAAAATGTTCCAAAAGGGAGCGTTCCTTTTGACGTTGCGATTGACCACAGCCACTCACAGCGGCCCGCGGCCGATGGTCAATCGCAACGTGGTCAATCGCAACGTGGTCAATCGCAACGTGGTCAATCGGATGCCACCCATTCCAGAATTGTTTGACAAATTTCCGAGTGAATTTTCCACATCATGATAAACAAAAAAGTTTATATAAACAGTGTCCATATAAAATGTGTCCAAAAGTTCGGAAAATAAAAGTTATTATCGAAAAATTCAACAAAATTTTTCAATAACTTTTCAAAACTGACAAAATCTGATTAATATTAAATCACAATTCATAAAAAATATTCAAAATGTTCTAATTAAATTTAAGATAATGACACGGATAATGCCATATCCTTTTAGAAGTTCCAGGAAAGTTACAAATAATTTCACAAGCATCAAAAATACATTGATGAATAATACAAAAAAATGTTAATAATTTTATTTATTACATTGATTTTTTCCTTTTTAAGTGAAATTGAATATACAAGAGAATTAAAATTGTCTGCATTTTAATGGGAGAACATCTTTCTTGTGAATATTTCTTATAAACTCTAACAGTACAAAACTTTGAATATAATCTTTCAATGATTTATACCTAATCCTTCAACTATTATCCCATGCATTTTTGGACATAAGTTTGCACAATTTTCTTGTTTACTGTAACGTGAACAATCCACTCCAAAAACTTGCCAAAGAAATTTAAAAATATTATACATAAAATGCGTGTATTATTAAAATTCGACTCGATTGTAATAGTAAAAATTAAAAAAATAACATACCCTTTTTAAAGCTGTCACTTCGGTATATATCACGTAGTTCTTTCATGAGTCTATCGGTGGCTTGTACACTTCCACAAACAGATCCTTTTAAATAATCTTGTCTCTGATTCTGTCTCAACCTTTCCAACGTCGCAAGATGTTCCAAATCCATTTCTTCACTCTGCATCATTAAAGATCAATGCCAGAGATTAATGACAGAAACAACTTGAAAAAAATCAGTAGTATAAACTAATCATAAGTTCAATTCTTCTTACCTTATTCTTAGAATTAGCGTCCCCTTCGTCCATGTCTAGATGAAGGTCTTCCTCAGTCTCGCTCTCTTCATCCTCGTCGAGATCGTCTAAGTCTTCGGCGTCCATCCTTTGCGCCACAGCTTCGTTCGAGCCGCCTAAACGTAAGGGATCCAACGCGGTTCTCAGCCTCTCGACGTCCGGGGGTTCCGGTAACGAGTGTAGTCTGCATAACTCTTTCAATAGGATACCAACTTGGTTGATTACATGGTTGTCGCGGCCTGTTGTGTTACTTAAAATTTGTACAGCGTTCGTAACACTAGTCTCCTCGGATTCGGCGAACCAGACGGGCGGCGTTGAAGGATAGGTTTCCTACGTAAACATCATGAATATTAGTGCAACTTTATGGCTATGACAAACGATAATTCATATAACTTAATGCGTTCAATGTGAACTGGCAATACGTTTGGCTGTACCAGGATCGCATTGTAAAGGGAGACAAACGAAAGATAACAAACTTTTAACCCCGGACCGTACCTCTCGCGAACACGACACGCAATTACGCATGTCACACGTCCATTTAAACTCGAAACACCAAAAAAAAAAAAAAAAATTCGCACACACCGACATCTGTCGCGTAAGCGGTAAATGATGTGAAATATCCAATACGCTGTAATCGTATGAGCGGGTAATACGCATTGCAAAAGGATCGCGCTCGATTGCGACGTTCCTCGTGCTGACATCGCGCGCGACACACACAGACACACAGACACACACACAAATCGCCCCGTCGTCGCGTAAGAAAAGAAAAAAAAATCAACTCGCAACCGTCGATTAAAAATTGCGTTGTCAAAGTGAGGGGATCGAGCGACGGGCGAAACGCGCGGGATTCGCGAACGAGTCTTCTTTGTCTGGGGATCCTCTTCTCTCCTCCGGACCTTTGTCTCTGACACTGTCGGCGTAGCCGAAAGAAAAAAAAAACAATGCTCCGCAAGATCCGGAACGGCCGAATATCCTCCTGCCCGCGAGGAAGTCAGGCATCGACCCCTTTGACGCGTCGTTTTATCCACCGGGACGGGAGTTCCTCGCGGTCGCGAGGGGAAAAGAAAAAGCGAGGAAAAAAATCGATCGAGAGACGGCGTCGAGACGATCGAGAGAGGGAAGAGAGAGACGTGTGGGAACGATCTCGAGCGGCCGCGCGCGGTGTGTGTCGTCCCCCCCCTCCCCCGCCCCGGGGATACCAAACAACGTCGAGTGTCGTCGGCTTCCCTTTGTCCACTCCGTCCGAAACTCCAGCCGACGGGGATGTTCCTTACGAAGCCCCGGAAGGGGGGAGGGGGAGGGGGAAGACGGGGATAAGCAAAACGAGACGAAACAGCGGCAAACGAATGTACCGATACGTACCTCACGCACTCTCACTCATATTCACGCACACACGGTGGGGCGGTCGGAAAACGACCGTCTTTAAGAGCGGCACTTCGGCGATTACACCCGACGTTACTCCCCATCCCCCTCGCCGCGCGCGCGGCGTGTGTTGCACTTACTGTGATATTGGCGTGTATTTCGTACTTCTTCCCATTTTTACCGACGAATCTGCAGCTGAGCTCGTCCACGCTCGCAGACATTATCTGAAACCTCTCATGGCTCTTGGGGAAGACGGATTCGAGCGTTTTGATTTCCTGCTTGAGGGTGTTCAGACAAGCCATTTGCGGGTGCGACGTTACGGGGCGGAGCGGCGCGTATACTACGGCGGGCCACAGGAGACGGATTTTTACCCCGTCCGAACGAGACACGGACGAAATAGGTAACCGTGGTGTCAGAGACAAGATGATTCCGATGACTACCCGACAAAATGGCGACCGCGACTAGCCGCCTCGGCCGCCCTCGTACGGGCTCGTTATGTTTCGCCGCCGTAGACGCGAGCGCCATCTCTGTGCCGCTCCGTGGATCCCAAACGAATCCGCCGGGTGACGTACTTCCGCCCAGTTCCGCCGCGGCCCGCGAACGTGTCGTGAGGTTATACGGGCCGATGGTGCCATTGCGCCGCGTAGAGACGGGATTTGAAAAGGAGACCTCTCGTCGTTTCTCGTGGCTTCGATCTTTTCGCACCCTTTTCGTTAACACGTCCTGCAATCCTTATCGTCCCTTTTCGATTGCCGTTTATACTGATGCGTCAATAAAAGAAGTAGTCCTGCAGCTGTAAAAGTGCGCGAGACAGTTCTTCGGATTGGAAGTACTCGTAAAGAAAAAAAAACATTTATTATACGGACGGCGTCCGTATAGGTGAGTGCTGGGCGCGCTTATTTTTTATGCTTAGCAAACTAAATGTCTCTAATATTACATGGTTTAACAAGTTTATTTAACTCGTTAATATATAACTGTATATAGCTACAAATTGATGGCCAGGGTGCAAAGGTAAAGTACAAATAATTGCACTTGTCATTATTTATTAATTATATTTAAAAATTTGATTAGGTTACACCACAACTGTGGTTACACCAGAGAGAACGCACAACCGCGTATCAAACTTAGTACTGGCCGTTAATCTGTAACTGCAGTTATTAAATATTGTATGTATTATCAAAGAATAGACTCATTTCAACCCCTTTAAAACTAATTTCGATATCATTTGAGAACTGTAAGTTTTTATAGTAGATAATTTACGTTGCCACTTTTTAGACAGAAATCGGCCTTTATTTCATATATCTTTTCCCACAACGAAATTATCGTATAAACGTTTTCCGATTTTAATTAAACCTCTGTTTATGCACATTGCTTAAATTATTTGTGAATCGTTCATGAATCAAAATGACTGGAAAAAAATAAACAAATACAGAAGGGAAAGTTTGAGTCTCAAACTTTACGGAAAGAACCGCGGAATTGATTTTTGATTTAAAAAAATGCATATAATTTATATTTATATATTAAATATATTTATGTTTATAAATATATTAAGTTATACAACATAATACAAAAAAAACCGTGACAGCGCGTACACACGCGAAGGATGTAGGACGCGAGAAAATAACTGGCTTGCATTGATTGTATCATGAATTTATTTTGAAATATCTAGTAGTTCTATTTCCTTATGCTCTATATGTACAAATGATAGCGTGATAAAGTATAATACACAGTTTTAACAAACGTTAACAAATGAATGCTAATCTAACATATTAAAAATGATATCATACTCTTAAACGTCTTGGACTGGAGCAATCTCTTGCGTTTACCTCGAGAGGGAATAAAATCACGTACGCGACGCGGTTTGCGCGGTTAAGTAATAAAAAAAAATGGTATGCGTTCCCGCTAAAATAATTTAAAAAATTCTAGACTTTTTTTCATCGCGTCAAAAAAATCACACACAACGTAAAATCGACATATACTTTCCTTTATCGCAAGTTACAACAACGTTCGATATAATTATATCAAACTTACTCGCGAACGTGGTAAAAACAAAAAACGAAAAGCGTAAAAATGAAAAAGTGACTGTACATCTCAAATGCAATTAATCGTAGATGCGCCGTTTTGTACATAACACGGAATATCGTAAGAAATTAAATAACGTTAGCATTGATTAAATGAAATAATATCACCCCGCTGTCAAAAAAACGTTTTTATTCAAATAATAAACCGCCAAGCGTTCCTCCGTCTTCCGACCTCTTCTACATTATCTTGAACCACTTTGTTTGTAACAGTAAGATATACCAGTCCAAAGTCTCTCGATAGCGCAATGCAAGGTGTCTTTCAAATTTGTAATACCACAAAATATTGTTTCATAAATAATACACTATATATTCACTACGACAGAATATCGAAACAATTTCTGCCTTACGCGAGAGATTCACGTTCGACGTGAATTAGTCGTTATAATTATCTCTTTATATACACTTGGTTGCCATGTACACTTCTTTTTTTAGAGCTTTCTTACGCTAAAATTAGTGAGTGACGAAAGTACATATATAATATATACATACTTTAAGTATATATATACTTTCGATCGCCGGTCGATAACTCTTTAATCCTCTGTTCCACATCGAGAGGAGAGATAAAATAGCATTTTATACGCTCCCTTGAAAAAGAGGGCCTATTGCGTCCTGCATTCTATTGTTATATAAATGGAAATAAATGACACAAATTATCAAAAAAAGACAGGTTAATATAATGTCAATGTTTTGAAATAATTTATTGAACTGAACAGAATTTGATTTGTGACGTATTTATATGAATCATGTGTGGAAGACTATTTTAACGTGGTTTCAAATATCAACCAGATTTCTTTTCGTCGTTTGAATATCGTTCTTATTTTTTGTCACATTTCTGTATTATATATTCATATAAATATCTTAACAGCTTTCTACATAGGTTGGACATTTTTCGAATGTATACATAAATTTAACGTATCCGTGAAGCAGGTTAGAGGTGTCGAACGATCATCAAACAATTGCACAATTGGCCTTGGCACATTGGCCTTCGCTTTGAGCGAAACCGATTTTTTTGTTAAAATCGTGTCGTTTCTTTTAAACCTTTATTATATATCAATTATCACACTCGATGCGTATAACGCACTTGGCATGAATAAATATATTGTTTGTTTCACTTTTACGAGCTTTTTTACACTTTTATAATATCGACTACACGCAGTCTTTTTCATTCGACCCGATAAATTTTCACCTAAAACCCATCACGAGATACTTGTCTTCAACGAACGCTTAATAATTGTGAAATTTAGATACCATTGTGTAACAAATTCAAAAATTCAAATTCGGAAAATTCACTGTTTAAAATAACTGTTTACAGTGCGAATATCTGAAAGATGCAGCAGCAATATTGTGAAAAATACTATATTTAAAAAAAACATCCAAGTGATGTCAGCGTCATTTTCTTGTCAGTTTTGTAATTGTATCAGATCTTGTATATTATTCATATCTTCTACAAATAAAGTCCACGAGATATTGCTCGCTGCTGTCTTTTCACATTAAATAGGCATTTGTTCCACTCCAATATTTCGTTCGTTCCACCACACATCTTCTGTACACAATATATATATTTTTTTTTAACACTCGAAACGAAAACTGTTCAATAAATTACCTTAACGCTTTTTAACAAGTTTTATGAAAATGGTATAAAAACTCACGCAAAATTATCGCAATAAATGAATGGACTAACGCTTTTAAATTAGCTTGCAACTAGTTATCAGGATACGCACTAGTAGTAGCTAGGAACTTGAAGAAGCTTTACTTCCATTTTTCGCTTTTTTTTTCATTGATATACATTTAATATGCAAAATAGGTTATTCATTCTGAATAACTCTATAGCACGTTATGCCCATTTACAAATGGGATAATAGCCTTTTCTTTCTCCGAATTTTCTTTAGAACAGAATTTTCATACACTTTTTTTATACACAAAGATACTAATGTATACCACACATAAAGTATAAAGTCTGAAAAGAATAGTATTCACTGTTGTGCAAAGAGGTAGAAATAAAATGTTATGTGTTGCACGTGTACTTTTGTGTGTGTGTGTGTTTTGTATATGTACGAGGAAACGAAAGTATGTACGTGGAATGATAGGATACATTTAATTTAAAAGATCGCTCTCTTTTAGATTATCTATAACCTATATATAGGTTATGGATCTCTATTTTGTTCTGTAACAAAATAATGATCTTTATATTAAAACAGATCTCTAAAAAAAAAATGAAAAATAAATCAATGCCGACAACTTTCGGCTCCAACTTTCGACGCTCACTATTCTCTCTTTGCTGCTCGTGTCTTGACAATCAACAGATTGCGCATAAGTAAGGTGTGCTTCGTTTCAATAGCAGTCGTACCGAAATACCGTTTCGATTGCGATTTGGCAGAATATATGATTCAATCGTATGCATATTACTTTTCCTGAAACCTTAATTATGCACCTTAATTATGCATGTAGCGAATCACACACACACACACACACACACATACACATTGTCGAGACGCGAGGAGAGTTTCGCCACGAAAATTGAGCCGAAAGTAATCAGCATCTAATGCCGACTACTTAAATAAATCTTTCTACGTAGAAAGCAAATCTAAATTGTCAACCATATTTTAAATTTTACACGTTTAAATTTTATTTACAATCGTGTCCTCTTCAATACACTTTGGAGAAAGAAATAGCTCACCACTGTTTCACTTTACACTTTGAAGCGTCAATGTATATTTTGTCGCGCATCATACGCGACAGTTATAATCCTGTATTTAGATACGCCCATCCCTCTCAAAGGCGTTCTCCAAAATACGATGATGAGAATGAGAAACGATGACATCGGCTTTAGAATGCCGAATGGTAATAATCGTAAGTAGGCCAGTAAGGCTGTAGCCAATCCTAGCTGGTACGTTGACGCTTTTTGGCAGGGTGCTCTTCAGACGAATGAGCTGGGGAAGGCATGACCATATCTCCTCTATTGAACATATACTTGAATTGTGGCATGTATTTCATTACACTTCTAACTTGGATTAAAGGTAGATCTTCTGTCATCGAAGAACATTTGCCTGCTTCGATTAACATCTTCATTTGTTGCCTGTAAAATATTATTTCTTTTTACATGAAAGTAAATTCATAGAATCTATTTTAATATGACAAGTGTTAAATATAATAACTCTCATCATATTTATCTACATTTATTTATTTATTTATTTATTTGTCCATATATTTACCTATTTCCTTGATATAAGTCTATATGTAGTACATCTGTAAGGACTTGTCTACAACTCTCGATGTCACAGGCAGGAAAAAAATTAGAAACGAAGTCAGGAAGTGTCATCAACAGTTCAGTATAAATATAAGGTTTGAAATTTATACAGGGTACCATCTTTTCTTCAACATATGCTTTCTGTATTTGGTATGGCTGTACATGACAAGTAGATATTTGTGATTCTGGTATTGGTATCAATGGTTTCCTCCCTCGAGAATCCCTAAAAAAAAATAACTTAAACGTGAACACTACTATTCAGCCAATATAACCGGGAGCACAGACTTTTGCATAACGCTGCAATAACGCACAAGACATAATAAATAAGAAAATCAATCAATCAGAGTCCTTCATTTCATACTCTGATTGCTTGATTCTCTTATGCCTTATGTCTTGTGCGTTATGCAGCGTTATACTAAGGTCTGTGCTCTCGCCTTACAAACTCCAAAATCAGAACATAAGTCCCGAAACACAATAGGTATAGTAAGCCGTAAGAAATAAACCAAATCGCAGTCGAATCTGAAGAGAATAATTGATTATGATCGGTCAATTTCTTACGTGCTTCAGGCTTACTACACCTATTGTATTTCGGGACTAAAGCACATAGAAAAACGTAAAGCAGTAAGGCGTAAGCAATAAGTGAATTTGTTCAATCACAGTAGAGAATGTAAGATTATTGTCTTACGTTTTCTATTGTGATTGGTCGCTTACTGCTTACACATAGACTTATATAATAGACTGCGCGCTCTCATTGAAGTCTTTCGGGCAATACCAGAGAGAGAAGGCAATAGGAGTATCGCCCTTTCCTTGTTTAATTGTCTGCACAATTGAACAAGGAAAGGGCGATACTTCTATTGCCTTCTCTCTCTGGTATTGCCCGAAAGAGACTTCAATGAGAGTGCGCAATCTATTATATAAATATATGCTGCTTATATCTTACTGCTTTATGTTTTTCTATGTTCCATGAGCTTAAGATGTCTTCGCAACCTTATGGCCTGATTTTAGACTTTGTACTATCCGGGTAGTTGAACCAAACGTATTTTATGTACGCATTTGATCAATACTGAAATATTGAAATAAGAAATTCTCATTAATCTCATTTTATTTAGTTCTCTTAAAATAACAATATGTAATTATACCTTGAATTGCTGCTGCTGCCGCTGCTACCATTAACTGGTATCAGAGGAGGTGGATATTTCGTATGAGATGTGTTATGCACAGATGGTGTATGCCTTTGTGGATGTAATAAATTTGGTGCTGATGTAGGTACTGGCATTAAAGCTTGGACTTGTTCGCTTAAACCAATCATCTGTGGATATGTGGTTGCTGTGACTGCATTAGGTACACCTAATGTAGGTGTTGTATATGTAGTGGTCACCCTGAAATACAAAAATTATATTATTTTTTACTAAAATTATTTCATAAAGTAATGTTACTATAACTTTCATAAATTTATTTTATTCTATCGTTAAAGTCTTTAACCTCTTCGGCAATAAATATGAATGTCAATTTTGCGCGTGTTTATTTATTAAATTTTTATCTTATTTACATAAATTAATATATCATACTCGATATAATTGCACAAAAACAATATAAAACTTATGCCATGATTAAATAATATATTCATATTATATATTTATGCTTGTATAAATAACAAATAACAAATATAATTCAATTCAATTTTTAATAATTAAATTCACATTTTTTGCGATATCAAATTGTAAAAATAAAAGATAAAATAGAGTTATATAAAAGGAATTCCCATGTGCAAGTATATACTATATAAAATATATTTTATCAATCACAATTCGATAAAGAAATCAATTTTATAAATGGATTTATAATAATGCTGTCAACATTTATTTCATCCATTACTTGCATTTCAGATATTTTACTCATATTATTCAGGTTATTACCTAGGAATCCTGATTTATAAATAATTTCTGGAAAATAATGTATAATATATAATTAAATAAAATTATTTTACTTTAGAATCATTGTAAAATAATGTCGTTCGAGACTTTCCCTCATTTACATAAAAAAACTAACGGGCATTCAGTCTTTAGTTGGATATTGCACGGTTATTAAATTCAGATAAAAATCATTTCAGGTAAAAAAGGGCTTTTTAGATAACGAATATTTCTGATCTAGATACCTATATATATGGAGACTATTTTAGCCATTTACTGACAGCAATATAATAAACCATACATAATCATTATAAAATGTTGAATATGTAAACACATTATAAGACAAATAGATATAGTAACATTAATAAACTGTGACATAGATAATGTCAAGTAAATTCACAACTAAACCAATGTATTTATCACGCAAAGAAGCTTTAAAGACAGTCATCTAGATTGATTATAAATATTAATATTAGATTTATCTCTATAATTTATATCTGCTTGAGATATAAATTTTTGCATGCTTATTTCTTATAATCTATATATGACAATAGTATATGTTACAAGGACTCACCAGTCATCCTTCCCATAGGTGGGATAACTATACAAAAAAAAATAATACGTTGTATGTACAAATGCAGAAAGCTATGGTGCAGATAACTCTACATATAACAATTATAATTACGCTTTTTATGTATGTAAACATAATGGTTCAAGCTAGGATAAGCATATAGCTCTAATGCTTGATATTTCATGCTTAATGTGCTGTATAGAAAAAGTGAAAATTCTTTCCTTCGCTTTATTTTCACGCATTAATTTGCTTGATCAAAAGAATACAGAAAGAATGCACTTATCAATATTAACCTTTCATCAAAAAATTAAAATTATCTTTTGCAATGATTTTAAAATTTTTATAAACAGGACAACACCATACATAAATACGAGATAAACAAGTGCAGCAAAATTAATTGATTATTATGTACAAACTGTAGCTAATTGATTTGCTTTGTAAGCAAGTGCGTACGACGTAAGAATATATAAAGTTGCCAAAAAAACTATTGATAAGGGAAAAACAAAGATATCTCTTGAAATTATTTAAAGCTTTGTGAACTTATAACACGTGTATACATACTAAGCTATCAGAAGATTTTTAGAAAATTATCTATTGACATTTACCCGAGATTAGGTTGATTGGAGTGAACAGTTGCGCGTATGAGAGGCGGTGGTTGAGCTTGAGCAACCCCTTGCATGGTCGTCGTCGGATATACCCCAGGATATTGAGCTGCTGCTCCGCTACTGCCCGCTCTACTTCTAGACTGTTGGGGATAGGTTTTGGGAGCAGCGGTCATTTGTTGCTAAAAATCCAAAACTGTACATTTGGTCTGGTATACGATACGAAAACTAAAGCTAAACTATAATATGACGATTATCGCGGATCTCTTACTATCTATTATGATTTATAAGACAAGGAGATTAGCTTACGTTGTGCATTACATTGTTCAGAGTCGCTCGTATAATGCTAGCCTGAGAACCGAGTGCCGTTTGAAAGGTAGGTTGACCGCCAACGAGGCCCGACCAGCCGTTAACCACACCTGGAACGGTATTCAGCATGGGCTGCGACACTATGCTCGATCGACCGGTGGGAAGTCCCGACGGGGAAGAGTGCGCTGGATGCGTCGTCACCACGGGCCTCGACTGCCCTATTCGCGGCATCTGCGGTGCCGTGCTCACGACAGTTCCCCGCGGCATCATATTAGGCATCGGTACGGTACGCGAGCTCAGAGGTGGTACAACTTTGTTGGCGCTCTGCACGGAGGGAGGCTTGGTCGCCGGCGGGGTGGGCGGCTGTTTTGTCCATCCACCGCCGGTACCGCTCCCGTTGCTGTTCACCAACAACTGCGAGTCCATAACTTTGGTCGGCCAGTAGTCCTCAAAGCCGGTGCCCGGTGGAAAGTAACTCTTTATATCACTCAAACTAATCACCGAGCACGTTTCACTCGCAAACAGTTCGTTACGTATACCCTGTACCTTGCAGCAGAATTTCAAGTACGATAAATCCCAGCCCTCGAGCTTTTCCGCCTTGAGCTTGAGATTTTCCGTTTCCCCCTCGAAATAAAACAGCGGCACATACTGCAGACCGTCCTTCACCGTGTACGGTACCACGGACTCTTTGTTTATCCGTATGAAACCACACTTCTCCGCCTTACGTCCGCTTGTCACGTTCGGATTGGTACCGGCGGTCAGTTTGGTATAACACACATCGAGAAACGTATAAAACTCCTTGGCGTCCGAGAGACGCACCACCAGGTCTTTACACGTGAACGCGTCCCTGCCGAACTGATTCTCGCAGTGCCTGGTGTTGATCTCGTTGAACAACTTGCTCTCCGCCTCCGTAATGTAGTAACTCCTTATACATGTGCAACTGTAGATGTCCGAATGAAGAAAACTCAGGTACTTGTTGAGAAGCTTAGATTCTAGGATGCGTACGGCGCAATACTTTTCGCCGGAGCGAAATATATAAGGTATGTGACACTCGTCGAAGCTCGTCCAACCGAATCGTCCCCGCTGGCTGTCGTCGTCCGGCGTTGGCGCTTTACTTTCCAAACTGCCGGTCGGCGGTTTCGGCGCGGGCTGCCCGTCGGTCGGCCGTTTGTTCAGATATCCAAGAATAGAACCGGGAAGATTAGGCTGCGGTATGAGGCACTGTTGCCTCTGTTGTTGTTGCACCGCTGGCATGCTCGCCAGCATTTTCGCCTTGTGTGCTTCCACCATTTTGGCAGCCAGTTCACGGATTTCCGCATCGTCTGGACGTTCTTGCTTGACGACGACTTTCTCGAAATCTGAAAAAAAAAAACGACAACGTATAAGCCTTGTGTTGTGCCTCAAAACTTGAGTGTTTAATGCTTAGTTCCCAATTGTGCACATTGCATCGAAAGACGACATTACGTACGCGTGGACTTTCGAAGAGAATACTTGGGATAAAAAATTTACATTGTGTGTAAAAAAAACCTAGTGCTTTTTAACGTATCGTGGGAATTAAAAAACTAATTACAAATTGCAAGAATAAGTATTAACAGTAGAGGAAACTTTACTGACAGACACGCACGTGTTATTTATAAAATATATTCAATTGGCTATCAGCGCTCCTTGTAACGTGAATAACAATCCAGCTAAATCATGTTCCTGATTATTTATCATGTAAATTTATTAATCGTTATACGACAAAAGTATCTTTAAGTGCATCCGATAAATCCTATATATCGATTTAGTATGTAGGCCGATTTCTCGCGCGCCAATACGAAAATAACTTTTTTTTTTCTTTTGTGTTGATGCTCAGTCCAAACTATTACGTCAATCAACACAGCACTAATCGTACTTTAATACGCAACAATTAGATAATGTTAATTAGTAAAATTAGGTAACGATCAACTACTTTCGCGCATATCGTAAATTAATGTGCGCACATTAAGAATCAAATCAGCTTTAGTGGTAACAGAGGGAGGAACTATTTTCCTTTTTTATCATATTTGCCATTTTCCATTGTATCCACTTAAGCCGATTAATTTTCGCGCTGCAATCGAAACCGAAGGATTCGTTCCGCTCGAGTTTCGGTGATCAAATCGAGAATTGCCCATATAAATGCCAGTTTCTACCAGCGTACATCAACTTTAATCTCGGTTTAACTGACTCCTTTTATCTTTTTCTAATTCTAGAAGACGAAGAGGAAGTGTAAATCGAGATTAAATTTAATCTACATCGCTGGAAATGGATATAAACAGTTCTCTTCAAGGCGCGTCAAAACAATCGTAAGTCCAATCGAGGATTCCAGCGTGTCGGTTACATAAAAACACGCTGCGCCCGGTTCGGAGCGGCGCGCTGTCAAAAGGGACGCAGGTAGGGTAAAACCGAAACATCGCGCACGTGACGCGTCTCGATTGATCCTCGATCGATCCCACGCGCGCGCGGCGTGCAGCGTCGCGATGACGTGATTAGCGAAGTGTAAACCGCGTAAACGTAAACACTCTGGGCTCCGGCGACATTAAGAGTCTACCATCGATTCAGCGTCTTGGAAAATTCCTCGGAATAACAGTGATCGATACTAATAAGCGGATCGCGCTGGCGAGAGCTTTGATTTTTCGTGCCGCGGGCGTAGAACGCGCAAAAGGATATACGCGATCCTTTATCTCTGTTCGTCAATAATGAAACGATTTTCGCGTCGACAGTCGCCGGAGAAGAGGCCATAACGTGCGATCGCGCGATTTGCATTTCCGAATCTACGGTTCCAAACGACCGCGTCGCGGGTTCGCGCGAAGAGAAGCGTACGAAGGAGAGACGTACTGAGTGACATTCGCTCGGGTGCCATCCGCGACGGACTGCTTTTCTCGAGCCATATGGCGTCCGTGCTGCTGTCGGCACTCGCGACCGGTATATCGGTGAAACCGTTCCTCATCCTTGACGTTCGTGAGGGTGTCTCCCTTGGTCGGTTGCGCGAAATCACATCTCGCGGTGCAGTTGAGGCGATCCGACACGCCACAGGGTTCCCTCCGTTGAGGTTATAGCATGCAGCAGCAGCAGGCTGTCCGTCCACCTACGTGCACCGCTGATGGTACCGCGCGCGATCCATGTTACACGACGGGGAGGAGGAGGAGGAGGAGGAGGAGCGGGAGGACGAGGATGAGGATGGCGTATCGGCGGAATTACGGACGACCGTGCGATCCGCGCGTACGGGAAAGTTGTCCTGTCCCTCTAGTCGGTGCTCGCGCCGACTTTTGCAGTTTTCACGCTTTCCCCCGACGATGAGGATGACGACGACGACGACGTTTCACTTTGTGCGCCGACACGATTATACCAGGTGGCGCGAAAGATCCTCATCATCGTCACTAACACCACCGCCGCCGCCTCCACCACCGCCGTCGCTGTCGCGGCGACCGTCAATCGCCGCTGCCACCGCCGTCGTCGCCGCCGCCGCCGTCGCCGCCACCACCACCACTACTACTATCGCGCTCGATACGTCGAGGGTAAAACAGGGAAAGGACGGGATACGTAGACGGTATCGCACCACCGTCGACTACGTACATGCTCGTCGTCCGGGCGTAGCTCCGCGGGCCGCCGGAGCTATCCCAAGGACCGCGGCACTCTCGAACGAGGACAGCGCCATATCGTCGCGTTCGCGCGCGCGCGCTCGCGTGTACCCGGTGTTCGGTCGAAGCGAAACCTCGATTTTAGGCCGTACGACGACCGACCGTCCGTGTTGTCGCAGCCGGGACCGAGTTGACCGCCCGCGGCTCCGCTAGGGCACTAGACATCACGGTCTAGACCGTGCCAGACCATGCGCTTATACGCGTCTCTACGTGAGCGGCTCTCCGCGGCGGCCACTCTCTGCGTGGACTGTACCGCGCTAGATACAACCGCGCGCGCTCTCGCTCGCCAGTGTCGTCCTCGGCGGGCCACACTCGAACCGGCCTCGGCATTCTTGGGATTAAACGCGCGCGGCGGCGGCGGCGGCGAGCCCTCCTCCGCGCGCAGCGGCCTCCGCGCCTCCGCGCTGACGCGTCCGACGACGGTCCGGCGCGCGGCAGTGACAGCGCGACGTCCCACCGAACCTGCCGTCGCTCCAAGATGTGTTCGAAATACACCCCGGGTGTGATACCTCGGCTTGGCGCGTACCGATCGATGAGTGGCCGGTCCATGCCCGGAAGTGACGCACCGATTCCGCGACACCCTGTATATGTGAATGAGAGTACAGAACGCCTCGAGACTTTTTTTTTCTGGAGCAATTGCGAGGACACGCAGTTCAGAACGAGTGCACTCGGTGGTCAACTCGGATGCGCAAAGCCGAGCGATCGATAGTATTTCGTGTAAATCGCGAGTCTCATTGTGCACAAAATTCTAAACATCACAAATGGTCCAAAATCGGGACATAAATCTATAACACGTCTATAAGACATCTTGTGTCCCAATTTTGAACTTTATGATGTCTAGGATGTTACTCTTGTAGAAAGCAACAGAGAAAGTATACGTAGAATGAGACTGAATTGTCGATCTTTCATGTATAAACTGTGTGATAATGATTAGAATGACCGTAAATAATAAATGTTCCCCTACAATATTCATACAATATCTCTGTGATTGAAGTTTCTTTTCTTTCGTTTTAAGTTCAAGAAAGATGCTTGCAAATGACCTGTCGCCACAAAATAAAGTTGACTCAATATTCAGCCTATAATAGAATTATAAATAATCTGTTAGAGAAATAGAATAGAGCGACGATTTATGTTGTATACACGAGTAATCATTGCTTTGCAACATTCTTTTTGTTACACAAAAGAACGAAAAGAAACTAGAAAAATAGAACGACAGAATTAAACCCTACTCCACAGCATATATGGCAATCCGTACGTAATGGCATTAGAAGCGTCATTAGAAGCGATTGAATAGGATAGAAATTGGCTATAGAGCTAATTTTATGTCTGCTATATCGTTGGTTTTATTACATTAGAAACGATGAAATTTCACTACTTTTACAGTAAATGTGTCAAACATTTGGCATATATTGATCCTAAAAAAAGATTCTAAAAAAAAAGACCGTTCATCTGACGCGTTTCACTTTTGGTCGCTCAGTTTTTTTGGAGAGAATAAGGGGACGACGGACGCAGGGGCGGAGTGGAGGAGGGAGGCGCGATAGTGAGATGCGTGGATAGCTCAACTTAAACGACCGTCCATCTCGAATCGCGCGCCTCGTGTAGCATGGATCAGTTGCAGGAGCTAGGTACATACCGCTCAAAGAGTAGCCAGGACTAGCGTGTAAGATCGCGCGCGGACGATGTGACAACGTTGCACGGTCGATATGCTCTTTCAGGCAAAGTGCCAAGATTGGTAAACGCACGCGGGGGTACATAGTCGTGGTTTCCAGGTATCACCCTCCCCATTTACTCCCCTCATCCTTCCTTCCAACCATCCCTCCGGCCCTCCTCCCTGCTCCTCTCTAACCGCCCGCGCTTGATTCGTTGCCTCTCCATCATTCCTGGAACTCACCCGTGGGATTCGTCCCGATGGTGGGGAGTGCATGGCGGGGAGTGGGAGTACCGAAGTTGCGCAGAACCCAGCCAGACGTTAGCTCCTGCTCGCGCCATTGCGCAGTTCTTACGTATATAAACCCGTCGGCCGCCTATGTACTACATATGTATTATACTTATTATTTTAATCATGATTTACGAGCGCGGCGTTGCCGGTTCTCGCGCTCCGGGCACGCCCATTCCCTCTCTTGTCTCACTTTTCAGGCCATATACGCGAATACATAGAAACGCGCGCGCGGAAAAGCAACGTCGCTTGATCGATACTTGAGAAACTTGCAATAAAAAAAAATGACTATAGCGAATACATTTTCTACGGTAATCCCACGCGCAATTATATAAGATAAAGCTTCTCTATACGTTTTCCCCCAGCATTCAAATACATAATTGCCCCCCTCCCCTTCCTCTCTCGTATCCACCCCCGAATAAATATCAAAATTTCGCGAATGTACGATATATTCAGACACGATAGTATATTATTTATTCAATACACATTCAAAGCTTGTTAAATTTGATGAAACTCCTTATGTAAGAAACAATAGAGTATAGCACGTTGGAAATACTTGGTTGATTAGGTCATATCGCATCGAGCAATTGCAACGTTGCCGTTGCGGCCTTGATGGCACCTAGTTTTACTGCGCAGCACGTTGGGCCAGTCGTTTTGGCAACGCTGGAAAGTCGTAGCGATCTATTTATAGTAGCCCTCTAACGTTGCTGTTGCTATGCTGAACAAAAGGCATATTTGATTCGGGGAGGGGATGAGGATGGGTGGGGATAAATAGAGTAGGGGAAAACAGATCGGCGAGCGTAGGCGGTGCGACGCGAGCGGGGGGGGGATTACTAAAAGAACAATATGGCGGCGGAATGGGGATATATTCTCCTCCAATCTATCTACGTTCTGCTATAACTCGGCTTTCTCCATCCCTCTCTTCCGTGTCGTCGCTCTCTCGCTTGCTCTTTCGCGCGCGCATACCCGGTCCTCTATCGTCCGCGCGACAGTAGTTCATCCTATTTCCTGTACTTTACGAAAGTACGACCATGATGATAATTACGCAACGCGCGCGGAAACTCTAGTATGCGCGCGCGAGCGTAGTATAAAGGCGGGCACAAATTTCGCAACGGAACGTTAATAAGATGCATTTCCTTCTCGCGTCCGACAAAGAGAGTCGACGAGACCAGATGAAGGTCACGCGCCGCTTTCCCGCCTCTCCTCCCGCGAGAGTGGCGATCGCGGAAAGTAAAATAGAGCATATAAAGGGAGCAAAGGTCGTGGCCGGACGAGCGAAAAAAAATCTGGCGTAGAGTATCGCGCCGCACCGTTCGTCTCTCCCGTCCTTTACGCACGCGTAATTTCTTTTTTTCAGCTCTCACGCGAAATTACATATGGCGCCGTTCACTCGTAGCAGCTGACGAGATCTCGTCGTGCCGCCGGGCGCCGCGCGCTCCTACGGCAGTGGGCACTGGGCACACCGAGAGAGCACGCGTGCGACTTGCGCGAAGCGGCGACTGCGAGGCATAGCGCGCTGTGCCACGAATGGCCCTCGGCGTCGCTCGGTTGTCTTCGGCGAAGTTTGCCTCTTTGTTACATCACTCCTCTGCTCCTTATGTAGTACATAAGGACGGATACATTATGTATCTCGCGCGCGCGCGGGGGGGCCGCACATGTTCGCTCCTCCCGCGACTCTACTCTCGCCGCTCGCGTTGTACATAGTGCACACATATTCCCGCGTGTATACGTGCATACGCGCTAGCAAGCCGGCTGGCGGACACACAGGCGCACTCGTGGCGAGCAAGCCTTAGGGCTCCGCGTTACACGATGCGCGGTTACAACAAACAAGCGCCCCGTGCGTTCTCCGGCACATTGCATTATTACATAGAAACATATAGGCGCTGCGCGAAACGATTTAACGGCGAGCGGTATACGACGTATGGAAAATTCATGCTTTCGTAATAATAGCGCGCGGGAGAGACGCACACCGCGTGAGGCAATTTCACGAAATTTAAGAGCGACAACCTTCGTTTTACTTTGCATGATAAATACAAAAGGAATCCTATTCCAGGATAACGCGCCATAATTTTTTATGTCTCTCTACAAACTGTACTTACGCTGTCTCTACAAACGTATTAATATAGATGCTGAACAAGTGCCGTAGTATCAAGACTAGAATATTCCAGAATTTCATGTGCGTGCAGTATATTTGTAAGTTCCTTCATTCGAAGAAATGCATAAGAAACGCATAATTTTTTTCAAATCGACAATCGACGCACATCTGTGACAGCGCATGAAAAGATAGTACACGCATGCGTGCACATGTATGTAAAAACTTGTAAAATATATATTGAGCATGTAAACGAAAGTAAAACTTCTAAATCTATACTTTTCTTCCCTTGGAGAGTCGAACAAAGAATTCCACGCAAGTCTCTAAATCCTTTTTTGCTAATCACAATTATAACGATGAGATAACGCCTCTATGCAGTCAAAGATCATCTTACGGGTTGATTTAAATAAACTATGACATCATCCTACCAAGTAAATGCGCCCATCATATTAAATAAGGATCAACAGTTTTGTATATGCTTGTTGTATATATGTACAAGAGAAGTACATATGCGAGATGACACTCTACTGAAATTGTGTATATAAATAACCATATTTAAATCGAACTTATCAGTAAATTAGTCTTCTTTAAATTAGCCATCATTTTGATTTGAGATACATTGATTCAAATGTTTCGTTTATTGTTGTAAAATATCATTACGGGGCGGTCTCAATGTCATACTTGACACCGAGACACTACCGTGTCTACTGATCAAATTCCTGTTTTTTTTAATGCCATCTATTTACTTGGATATAGTCGAAATCCAGCACACGTGAAAAAGGGAACTGCTTTGAAGTAAACTGTAACACTTAAATGATACGTGTGATGTAAACATACTTTGACACAATGCCCGAATATTTGAATAGTACTTCGTATTATATATCCAACATACACAATAAATGCTATGCATCAACGAGGTAAACATGCTTGATTTCGTTAGGAATAGATGTGAAAACAATATTATAGTATATAGGGGAGCAAATAGAAATCGATATCAATGCCGTCCAATAGAGATTGCAGTTCCACGTCGTCTTTAATGCATCGTCTCAATGGAAATGACGCAGCCAGCTGATTTCTCGCATGATCGTCAATGCACTCACTCGTTACGGATAACGTCAATACTAATGTACGTAGGGAATCTTTGAAAATGTCATTTCGCAAATCGGAATACCCGCTCTTTTCCCGAATTTACAAATGTGATTATTTACCTGTAGTTTCGAAATAACTGAGAAATTCGAGTTAAGCTTTTAATCTCTCCGATTAATAAAAGAACTGCAAAAACAAAATAAAAAATTTAAGTATTCAACGTGAAAATGCAACGCTATCGTTTCCTATTCGCGATAAACTATAATGGACAGTTTTTACGTGACATTAACCAACCGGCTTTTACTTGTTATCGATATGTGTGTATGTGTGTGCTTAAAATGAACAAGTTACGTTATCAGCTATTTTTAGTGACTCATTCAGATAATAAAGGAATTTCTCCTGATCTCAAGATCCTGAGAAAATTCCTTGAGAAGGATACTGCTCGTGAATTTTTATAAACGAAAAAAAAACCACAGTCTATATTGACAACGTGCATTGATGTATCACGTGTCCTCGCAAATCAAATTTTAATTGACCAATAAGAGATCGATTTTTTATAAAAATCAATTCTTCTCTTTTTTAGCATTTTTTTAATAATCGTGTACTACTAAAAATATGCATTGCATGCGCGTGTACACGTGTATGCGCATATGCGCGATTTAATATTGAAGTTGTAAATGATATAGCGAGATAGAAATTCATGATTAAAGACTGTACAAAATCTTGTACAAGTTCGAATTGAAAGTGTTCACGTTCATTAAAGTAGCGCTCGTTGGCACCTCGTTGCATGGATAATGGCACAGCACACATTATCCTCAGGACGTCCAGAGGATGTCCAAACGATGTCCTCAGGACGTCCCTTGGATAAAGTGTGCTTGGGACAATGTTTATACTAGATATCTAATGATTTGCCGATATACCGGCATTTTATCGACATGTCGTACTCTGAGACGTCAAACATTCTTACGACACGGACGCTTAATTTGTCATCGGCCGACGGAATGGTTTGCCGGCCACGTTTTGCCGGCACCGCGCGAAAACCGCGTCTTATGGAAGGCTGGGTACGATTCTTGGGTACCAACGTCAACCAGAGTAATATGGTATAGCCGTGAAAGAGAGGGAGCACGCACTGTGTACGCTACGAAGAACGAAGACAGCGAGATCGCGCGTAAAACGCGAGCGAGGAAAAAGAAGAGAGGAGATAAGGATACGCGCGTGGAGATCGGAGATCCTCCACCATTACCGCCGCCATTGCCATTGCCGTTGGCTACCCGCCCGGCCCGCCGGCCGCCGCAACTGCCGTCGCCTGCTTGGACTCTTGGAGAGTCTTGCGACCTCAACGCCTACACCGCCACCACCCGCCGTGTTAGCGCTGCGCGCGCGCGCCATCGGCCCACCACTGCCGAGTGCCGCCGTCGTCGCGACTCGACAGTCGCCACCTAACCTCAAACCTTACCTTTGTTGATGTGGGCCTCGATGATCTGTACGTCTTCGTCGATGCTCTTGTCACCCATCTTCTTCTCGTTAAACTGGACATCCATGCACATAATTCCACGTCGGCCTGTGGAACCTCGTTCGCGACACAGCCACTACGCCACCGCGCATCCGTAACATTTACATGAAATTGGTTGTTTCCGAGCAGACGAGCGCGGGCGCGCGCGAAAATTCGTACGGGAGTGAAGGAACCGGAAGAAAAAGTCGCCGTCGTCGCGTCGTAGTCAACACGCGCGAGAGAGCACGATCGGTAGGGATGCGCTAGTCACGTTTAGTTACTCTTCTGAATGCGCTGAACAGTGAACTTGTAGCTCAGTATAGCTATGAGAGAGAGAGAGAGAGAGAGAGAGAGAGAGAGAGAGAGAGAGCCAATGAACACGTCTCAACGTGTCTCAACGTGTCTCGACGTGTCTCGATGGATCCCAACACATCTAAACATGTCTCACACATTCGTATACCGTATACCACGCCGTACACCGTCGATGTCGCTGTTGATGCGCACTACGCGTCTCCTCGCCGGTGCGATATTACATAGCGACGGATATACGTAGACGAAGCAACACGTTCGCGTTCACGATTCTCCCGTTCCGCGTTTTCTACTGTTTTGCTAAGAAGCCGACTGGGGTTCAGATCAGATTTGAATGTGGCACACGTTGCCAGTTCTTTCTCATACTCTCTCCTCTTCTCTCCCGCTCGCCCCCCTTTTCCCCTCTCTTTCGCTCCCTCTCTCGTCCCCTCAGTCCCCCTCGGTCCCCCCATTTCCGTCTTATGTACTTAACGGTTGCGACGTTGCCGTACATCCGGTACGCGTGGCCGCTTGGTGGGGGGTTGAGAATTTTCAAGGAGTGGGAGGTAGTACATAGGCATACATAGGTACCAAGGGCCGCGTGGTGGGGTTTTACATTTTGAACGACGAATAGCGTGGCGGGGGCAAAACGGCGGGAGGGGATGTACATATATATACAAAAAGACGGTGGGGGGAGGGGGAAGTTTCCAGAAATGGGAATTTTCCATGAAATGTCGGAACAGCGGCGACCGTTATTTGATCACGTGATCATGCCGGAAATCGTAAAGCCGATGCGCGACGCACGCGCCCTCATCTAGAAAAGTCGTTTATCTTCCTCCATCTTTATTTATATTTGAAGATATTGATTTTTTAATTGATCCTCGAAACGACCATTTGATTAATATTAGAAGAACATAGGTTAAGCGGCCGTAATAATTAATCTTCATATTATAACAAATATTAAATTATTCATATTTGTTGATTGAGCAAATAATGTATGATACAAGAATGACAAATGGCAATTGTTGTACAATGGTGCAGACTTACTGACAGCTAAAATAATTATTCTACAACAGAACAAACATCAATTATTGTAATATACATTGTTCATCGGACGTTCGTTGCATGGAATCTATATCCTTGGTAGCTAAAAGTCCCTTGGTACTTTCGGCTTCCTTCATCCAAATTTGTACCTATGAATCAAAAATAAAAAAATTGAGTCTATGAATCTATGCAAGTGTACAAATATTAATTTTAAAAATTAACAAAACAAAAAGTATAACGTTATTCTTCAAATACTCGTAAAAATTTCGATAAACATTAATGTCGTATTTTAGTTCAATTTACAAATGATAAAATAATAACACAACAGCAGTTGTAACCCTCCGGTAGACCCGCGCTTTTAGTAGTCGCCTCACGAATAATTGCCTGCTGAGAAGTCGCCTCGTGTAACATGTACCAAACGAAACTTTTGCGATATTCTCAGGGTAAATTGCTGTTTATGCTTCCGTCTTATTTTCACAATATACATATTCACGAATCTATTACACCGTGTGATTAATACACACTTTCCTTTTGTCTTTCGAGTTTTTTTTTTACGCTCGCGCCATTGTACGGAATATAGCTTACAATAGTATTTCTTATTACGCTCCTCGTTCAAGTTCAGGCTAGGTATTTGAAGGCACGAGAGGATATCCTTGAAGGGACAACGGCGTAAAACCATTTTAACCAAACGACATAGCAAAATTTCTCTCCAATCGGAATCGATTTGTCAGGCGCGTACAATTGCCCGAGGATTAAATAAAAATTGCGATCATTTATTAGTGCAGCTATCGAACCAGTTTAAAAGTTTTGGCATATATTGTATATATTTTTCCACGCGTAAAAATCCATTTATATTAATAACTTTTTATACATTTATTTTTTGTATTATTTATATTTTTATTTATTTATATTAAAATTTATAGAAAAACGCTCGAAAACTTTAGAAATCTAAGACAGAAAAGAATCTAGACACTTCGATGGCGTAACATAAAATTTGAATTCATTTAATCACCTGCTTATATAGCAATTCTCTTCTCCGGCCTGCCGGTTCCTTACCTAGCAAAGGCACAAGTACACTTAGACATGATTGAAATTTTTCTAGAGCCAGAGCGTAGCTACCCTGAGCGAGATATTGCTGAGCAGCTTCTCCTATTTCAAGCGCATCCACCATATTCGTAGTACTTTTACTGAGAGTTCCTATCGATAAAATTACAAGTTACACATCACAGCTACCTTTTATAATCTAATAAGTTAGAATTTCGGGCTGTTATCTTAAAACGTTAATATTTTTAACTCATCACGTAGATGATGAAAAACAATAATCGACTACCTATGTAAACATTTCATTTGAGATCAACATTTTATTCTATAGATATTCTAACATGATACAAACGTAGTTCGTTGTAGTTGAAAGCCGAGCTTTTTTCTACGGACGGTATCCTTTGGAGGGACGAAGTGTTCCCTTTATTTTCAGGCGCCAGGCGCTTGTCGTTATTCCCATCTATAAATGCCACTTTAAGTATTTCTGCCCTCCTTATGTAATCGTTCACACGATGTCGTAATGCTTCCTTTCGTTTGAGATCGCTCTCGTCTAATTGAATGGACAATATAATTACGATAAAGAGCATTCATAAAAATTTCGAGAACTAAATCGCGAGTGTTATTCGCGAACGTTTTCAAAGATTTACGAAACAATCTTACTTGTCAAAATTGGGATGAAATATCGGAGAGCTTCGCAATACAGATAAAACGCCTCTTTTGCATTCTTCTCGGCATCCATTTCGACAGCTTTGTGTACCAGGGCGGCTGCCTTGTCGTAATTTTCGTTTGTGGGCGCGTGCTCCAGGTCCAGAAAATCGTGCGCAAAAAATTCGTCATATGTTATTCGATCGGCGGGATTATGCTTCAGGAGAGCCATAAGCAAATCCCTACACGTTGCCGACACATGAGCCGCCTTCGGCATCTACGATGAATAACACCAATACTCGTATGTGATTCACGATCACGTTTGAATTCTATCGCAAATTAATGTGCACATAATTTATATGCTATCAGCTTAACGATCTTTGCACAACATTGAATTATTTATCTCACGACGATAGTCATAACATCATTACTGACAATGAGAAAAAAAATCGCAAAAAAACCGCGGAGCTTGATACGATTCGTGCGATTTAACGAAAAGAATTGCTAACTGTTGTTGAAATGTTTAAAACTAACAACAAACACTAAAAGACTGTGCACGTTACGTAGAACATAAATAAAATAAAATTTAACCGGAGGATAGTCACCTAGAGTTTTAATTGCGTAAACGATCATGTGATTTTTACACTCCAATTAAAAATCACTACTTAATTAGATATATTATTGGGTGTTCCACAAATTTATTATTATTTGAGATCAACCACGTATATATATATATGTACACTCAATATTAAAAAGAATAAAGAAAAATTGAAAAAATTAAAATAGTTTTGGATTCTTGACCAGTAAAGGAAACTGAATACAGGAAACCGAGTTTCACTTTCTCACTTGGAACGTTGGAATGTACAAAAATACCCCCAGGTCACTATCCCGAGGTTAATCACCTCTATCGGTCGGCTATCCTTGATTTTTTCCGCCAGCTCTTGAAAACTACTGCTGGAATAGGGAGCTTTTCCGAAAAGGCACTCGTACATGATCACCCCGACGCTCCACAGATCGACGCGAGCGTCGTACTTATGTTTCAACAGCATTTCGGGTGCCATGTAGAGAGGCGAGCCGCGTATCGTGAATTTGTGCTCCGAGTTCGAGAAGTACTGCGCGAAACCGAAATCTGAAATCGGCGCGAAATAAGTCGAGATACTCGTATAATCGCCATTGAAAGCGATCATTCCGTTAAAACGAAAAAGGACCACGAAATTACCCCTGAAGAGAAAAGAAAGCGGGGAAAAGATGTATCGGTATTACCAACCTCCGACTTTGAGCACTAGCTGAGGTTTCCTCATCAATAGCAAATTCTGCGGTTTAAGATCCATGTGGCAGACGTCATGATCGCGTAGATATTTTAGCGCTAACGCGAGCTGCTGCAAAAATCTGCGACATGTGCTTTCGGGTAGCTTGTGCTTTTTCTTTATGAAACTCGACAAATCCCCGCCGTCGCAGTATTCCATGACAATGTATATATGCCTGTTTTGTACATATATATATATATATTTTTTTTTTTTTTCAGGAGAAAGGTTACGTCGGTCGAAAAAGACGCCCAAACAACATCGAGTCCAAAATCGGGACATAAAATATCTTATATGTCTCGATTTTAGACTCGATGTTGTTTGGGCGATTTCTTATCGAATCGGTTGTCCGCGATTAATCCGCGTGTTCTAACAACGAGATAACGATTATGTAGTATCGTATAAAGTCTCACGTAACGCACCCTTCGTCCCAGAAAAAATCTTTCATCTCTACGATATGCTCGTGCTTGAGGACGTTTAACAGCTTGATCTCCGTCACGAGATTATTGACCGCCGATTTCGAGAGCGATCCTTTGTCCACGCACTTGATAGCGACTACCTCTCGGCTCCCATCCTAAGAACGATCATTACAAAGAGCGATAATTTATAAAAATGTCGCGATTGCGAACGCGCTCCAAATCTAGCGTCAAATTTTCACCGCAGTCTTTTTCGGTGAAGGTGGAAGTATATTTCGTTATATTTTTTGACAGAAAAAAAGATTCGTTGACACGAAATCAGCGAAGTCGAATCTCATATGATGAACTTCGTTATCAAATCGGATTATAAGGATTTCATCTACACGGAAAAGACGAGTTTATTGGAGTATCTATACAAATTTATAGCGAGATACAGATCTGGAAATATTTATGTTGCACAAGATATAATTATATCGAACGCTCAAGCTGGTTGCCAACATATCAAAGCTTGTACTTAAAATGAAAAATAAATATATGTATATATGTACATAAAATGAAATATATACTTGAAGATTAGTGAAAGAGAAAAAGAAATGTTTTAATACGGTGCAGCGATAAATAACAAGGCTTAAACTTAAATCATAATAAATGTCTTGCATAATTACTTTGATGGTCCAACGTAATTATTTACACGGATCAGAGTCTAGCTAAATTTTTATATATATACTTCGGCGCAATCGCTCTTTCCGCGTGTCTCAAAACTAAGGGCTCGAGGGTAAGACGATCCGACCCTGCACGCGAGCGCGATGCAAACGCTATCGAGTTTCCGGCGATAACGCGTATTTACCCTCTGGTGAATTGTACAGGAAGGGAAAAAAAAAAGATGCGTAAGAGAAAGCATTACACGTGTCGAACGTTATATACTTTCGCACGTCTTCCTGCCGTGACAAATAAACGATCGATACGTAATGAATGATTCGGGGCGCTCGAACAGACCTAACCTGGATCTTTTTTTTTTTTCAAGGGAATCAAGGGAAAAAGTATGCAAAACCTGCACGTACCTTTTTAAACGCCTTGTACACGGTCGAGTAGCTCCCGGAGCCGATCTTTTCCAGCATGCAATAGTCTCGCACAGTGGGCAGACTCATTTTTCACGTAGATAGGCCAATTTTCAACGTGGCATTTGCGGCGAAACGTTGTTGCAAAGAGGGACGATATACAATTCTTGTGCATTGATCTTGCGCGCCAAGTCTTCTCGCACATAGGCGTAATCGGCGGAAATTATCGACGGCAATTAAACTGATATCGACGTCGGGAAAGCGCGGATTGGAAGATGAAAAGAAAAATGATCAGCTGACGATTTTTTAATCTAGGTTAAAGTAACTCCCATGAGCTTTGAGCTTTTCCTATCTATACAAAAACTGTAACATCTATTTACAGAACGCATATAAGATTGACGGAACAATTTTCTCTAATTATTTCAACGTATTATTAAATGATTCATCATCGTAAAAAGCGTATGGAATAAAATTCTTAAATGCATAAATGACTGCAATCGAGACGACCGTTTCGACGTTAACCGCGCTGTTAAAAGCTAGTGCAGGGTATACACTCTTATGAGCGAATGAACATTCATACTTGAACATTCGTTACTTGTAAATCGTTTATTCCTTTCCTTGATTGAAAGAAAGATATCCAGACATCAGCACTCAATATCAGATTCCGACGTTCGCAGCATATACAGCTAACTTGAACTCGTGCGGCAAATATTTATGCGATAAAAATAATAATGAACATTCGCGTTCGTACAAGTGTACACCCGGCTAAAGAGGGAAACGATCCCGTCGCATCTCCGTCGACGGGAGAAAACTAGAAAGGAACACGAAGCGCCCGGCCGAAGGTCGGGGTCGGACCCGCGTATCGCGATTTAGGTGCTACTCGTTGTAAAGACGTAAACAATGCGGCGACGGCGACGGCACACGTCGTACGTACGTACTGTGAACGCGTTGTACATATATATGCAGTACGTATGTATGTACAATACATACGTGCGGAACGATCGTGCGCGTCCGTCAGCGTCAGCTGGTGGAGATGCGCGAGCGTGGCGTGGCTCACCTCGCGGCGCTGGCCACGCTTGGGACGAGAGAATCACGCTCGGCGCGCGACTCACGACGAGCGTGGCTAGAGTCACGGAGTCGTCGCAGGTCTCTCCTGACTCCTCGGAGAGAGATAGTTCTGGATAGTTCCGGACAGTTCGCGAGACCGTACGTACGTCGACTTGCTCGCGCGGATCGTGCAAGCGCTCTTCCCCCCTTCCGCGCAGTCTCTCCCTCGTCACGGTGCCGCTGCCCCACGTTGACGACGACGACGACGACAACGACGACGAGAGAACGGTGGTAGTCGCTCGTTCGATCGCCGTGGGTTTTCCGATGTCGCCGCGCGTCGTCGCGGACGTGACGGTAGCACGCGGGCTATAAACTCGCTCGAGACACTCTCTCCCTCTCGCTCCCTCTCCCTCCTCCAGCCATCTCCCTCTTTCTCTCTTTCGCTTCCTTTCATGGCAAACGCATGCAGAACGCATCGTTTTTCCCGTGAACGCGGACACGCGAGTTCCCTTTGTGCGTCGACGCTCTCGCAACAACGCACGGCGCGTCCGTCCCATGCTGGACCAGGATAAACACCTGCACGCGGCGCGATCTCGTTAAAAGCCACTCACAGTGACTCGTGGTGCAGACTACACGGTGAATACAATCCTCGCGAGTGCGCGACATTCGCCAAAGGTCCACGATCTCTCCCCCGTGTCAGCGACTCCTTTGGGATTTTCCCAAAGACACGACCACGCGCGAACGCGAATGTAACGCGGGCCTCGGCGATGAGAGGATAGACGACAGCGTAACCTCAGCCCGTACGTGTCCCCCCGTGGTTTGTTTATCATCTTATCACTCGGAGCAGTACCTCTGACCGCGTGTGAAATTTCGTTGGGGATATCCGTTTCTGTCCCCGCACGACGGAACGCCGCCAGTGTCCCTCAGCGTCAGAGAGAGAGAAAGAGAGAGAGGAGCGTCCTCTCCTCGCGCGCGCGGGATCGATTGCCCTTGAACCAATGTGTCGCGCCTTATTATAAACGCGCGCGTGTGCTAATTAAGCGAATCCGAGTTGCGACACACACACACACACACACGCGTGCAGGGTACCTACGTACGCAGGCTCGTCCTTCGGCGCGTGTATTTATATCATACGCGAAATCGACTCCTCCGACGGCCTCCAAAAGGCGCCGTCGTCCGCATTTAGGCGCGCGCGTTTTCGCGTAGCCTCGCAGCGAGGCGCGCGGCCTCGTGACCCGTAATTTTCAGCGTGCAGAGGCTGACCTCGGTGAGGCTTGGACGACAGTGCAAAAACAACGTTCCCGCGAGTGTGCGTTGCGTGTGTGTGTGTGGTGCGCGCGCGCGCGCACGCGTGTCGTCCATCAATCGCGCGTCGTCCCATTCGACGGAGAGTGTCGCAATCGCAATCGTCGGCCCACCGTCCTCGCACCACCGTGAGATTAGCCGCGTTGGCGCGTCCGCCCGCCGTAGTTTCGTCTCGGATGTTTTGGCAGCTGACTTTGCTTCCTTTTCTCTCCCCGTAAACGGAAACGTCAGTGAAATCTCCCTCTCTCGAGCCTCCGCTGCCGCCCGGGAGGATCGGACCGCGCGTTTTACAGTCGTTCCTCGCGACGTGCCCGAGGAACAGCCGCCGCCGCCGCTCCGGGATGCTTTATTCGGGCAGAGCAGCGTTCGAGGAACGGTGATGTCACGTACCGAAACACAAGCCCGTTTTCTCTAAAGCGACAGGTGCTCGCGTGTCCCGAGAATCCTCGGAATCGCGCCTCTCTCCCGCCCGAACTCTTTTTTTTTTTTTTTTTTCCCCTCCGCGGAAAACGTCTACGATCTCCCGCAGTGCGAATCTCCAAATCCGCGCGCAAAGATGTAAATTCCCGACGCGATCCTCGCGATATTTCCAATGTCCATATTAATCGTAAACAAATTCGCAATTCAGGACGAAACGGTGATTGAATCGACGCAGCACGAATTCCTGCACCAACTCCTTGCCACTCGATGCTACGGTCCATAAGTGCGATCTGATTGTGTACCCACTGCTTGAGTACTACTGGTGGAAGAAGCATAGAAGACTAGAAAAGCGCATTAATTGGACGTAACAATGGATTCGGAGGAGGAAACGCTTTACGACGACGTAGACTCTGGTAACGAGTCGAGCGGCGACGACGTTGATTTTGCTATGGAAATAGAGTCCGGTAATCCGCGGGAACGGGCTACCGACGTCGACGAATATCCCTTTGAAGTGCTTTCCACCGAGGAGATTGTGCAGCACATGGTTGACTCCATAAAGGAGGTCAACACTGTTGTCGAAGTAAGTTTGTGGATAGGATTGTGGATAGGATTGTTCCCGAGATATAAGTTATAGGAAAACCATATTACGTGTACGTATGTTAATTTATAGATACCAGCTACCACCACACGTATTTTATTAAATCACTTTAAATGGGACAAAGAAAAATTGATGGAACGATTTTACGATGGTGATCAAGAAAAGTTGTTTGCCGAGGCACGCGTCATTAATCCGTTTAGGAAGGGCCCTTTAATAAGCAGGAGTCGATCTTCCCAAAGTTCTCTAGTAAACGTATGTGAATGTTTATTTTAATTCTATATTTCGTTGCTGATCGAATCATCATGAAACTTATATTTTATGTATGTTTTTAATGCAGCCTAAAAGACCGACAAATGGAACGGAGGAATGTGGCATCTGTTTTATGATCTTGCCATCCTCAGTAAGTTTATTTATCAAATTTCTAAAGAGTAAATTTTTAAAGAGTAGAAAAAATGTTTAAAAGAATACTGTATATATTATTAGATGATGACTGGTTTGGAATGCGGACATCGTTTCTGTACCGGTTGTTGGGGAGAGTATTTGACAACTAAAATCATGGAGGAAGGAGTTGGACAAACAATAGCCTGTGCTGCTCACGCTTGTGACATTTTAGTCGATGATGCCAGTGTTATGCGACTTGTCAAAGATTCCAAAGTTAAATTAAAATACCAACACTTAATCACCAATAGCTTTGTCGAAGTAAGTATTCAAAGTGTAAGTAGTTGAATTTATTGGCTGTCATAAGTGTTACTTACATTTCTGTTCCTTGCAGTGTAATAGGTTATTGAGATGGTGTCCCTCCCCCGATTGCAATAACGCCATTAAGGTGCAGTACGTGGAAGCGAGACCAGTTACTTGCAAGTGTGGACATATCTTCTGTTTCCACTGCGGCGAAAACTGGCACGATCCTGTAAAGTGTCATTTACTTCGCAAGTGGATCAAAAAGTGCGACGACGATTCCGAGACGTCAAATTGGATCGCTGCTAACACGAAGGAGTGCCCCAAGTGTAACGTTACTATTGAAAAAGATGGCGGTTGTAACCATATGGTTTGCAAGAATCAGAATTGTAAAACCGAATTTTGTTGGGTGTGTCTTGGTCCTTGGGAGCCGCATGGTTCCAGCTGGTACAACTGTAATCGTTACGATGAAGAGGAAGCTAAAGTAGCCAGGGATGCACAAGAAAAATCCAGATCGGCTTTACAGAGATATTTGTTTTACTGCAATAGATATATGAATCATATGCAATCGCTAAAATTTGAAAGTAAATTGTATGCCAGCGTGAAGGAGAAGATGGAAGAAATGCAGCAACATAATATGTCGTGGATTGAGGTATAATAATAATAACAATCATAAGTAATCACAAATAAATTTTCTCAAGTTTGCTAAATATAAATTTATATCACTATTATTTTTCGATCTTTTTCAGGTACAATTTTTAAAAAAGGCAGTTGATATTTTGTGTTCCTGTAGACAGACTCTCATGTACACTTACGTTTTCGCTTACTATGTGAAAAAGAACAATCAGTCTGTGATTTTTGAGGATAACCAAAAGGATTTGGAGAGTGCCACCGAGTGTCTCTCTGAATATCTTGAAAGGGATATCACTAGCGAAAATCTTGCAGACATTAAACAAAAGGTTCAGGATAAATATAGGTAAGGGTTATGCATTATTCTCAGGAAAATGAGATTCTTTTTTTTGTTCTTTATGTTCTTTTTAAGATAACATTTACGTTTGCTTTTAAAGATACTGCGATAGCCGAAGAAAAGTGCTTTTAGAACATGTTCATGAAGGGTATGAGAAAGAATGGTGGGATTACAAGGAATAGAGGATTTTTGCTAATTTCATTTTTTGGGGTGACACGAATCCTCTACCTTCCCACCTCTGCCCCAACTGTGATAAACCAAGAAAGAGTTAACAAGAGACAAAAATGGAGCATGTCACAAAGTGATTAACGTGTTATATGCACTTTATACATAATGTGCTCTGTGGCAACACGTATAATGTCGTTAATGCTGAACTCAAATTATTAAAATTCAATCCGATCACGAACAAGTTGATTGGACAATATTTTGATTTGCGCTTGCTGTGTGTTGTACATCATTGTAGATTCTTGATCATTGATAAAAAAAAATGCCCGATTGTTTTAAGAAAGTCTTAAGAAAAAGTTATATTCATTAAGACGAACAAGATCATGCGTATTATTATTCGCAACATACCTAGCATGTTGCGCTGTAAAGTGACTTGGCTAAAAATTTGCTATTTTATTTAGCGTATTTTACCGACACCAAGCAAATTGAAAGCTTTTAAATCCTGAAAATTAATTTCCCCCCCTTCCCCTCTTAATTTTAAGGACAATGTTTAAAATAAGTCAGGTACAATTTAAATGATTCATCCCCAATTGTTTTACTTTATTTTGGACCACAATACGTCCAGGCTACAACTGCCAATGTTTAAGAGAAACTAAATTATGTACGTATCGTCAGTGCTATGTATTCATGTTTAACGGTTGAGCTTTTTTCATCCTTGCTTGTGTATTATTTCAAGAAAACTAGATACAGAATACAAAATCTTTACCAATACCGTGAAAATTTAATACCGCCATTTTTTTCTAAGTATATATATTTATATATAAGTATATATAAGTATATATATAAGTATATATATAAGTATATATATTTTTTACAGATAAATTGTATGCAATATCAGTTAGTTACTCAGTACACTGACATTGTGCAGATTAAAGGGGGCCAAGTTTGTGATATCCTTCACATATACCATATTCCATCTCTGCATGTAAAAGTAGAACACACTACAATTGTCAACTTGCAAGAAAATATTCATATTATTTCTATTTCTTCTCTTTTTGTGAATTAATATTTTTACGTACGTCATAAATTGCATAAATTGTTTTTTAAATATTGCGTTTACGTCATTGTGTTTCGATTTTAAACACAGATATATTATAACAAAAAAAGAATATCTGTAGCATGTCTTATTCGCACATGCGATAATCAATATTTTTTAATACTTTATATTACTGTATGTTATAATACAAGTATGTAATTAAGATGCTGCATAAATTTTATTTAGCTATTTTTTCAATTGGAAATACCTCGTCTTTTTTTACCATTATTCCTTATTTTTTTATTTCACGTTTGTCCATTTGCATAACGCTGACGATATGTTTTATTAGCTAACTAATTGAAGGTTGACTACAATAAGATAATCGCTTATAATTGTCGGTATAAGTGACAGACGAAATGAATTTTCCGTTTGTACAGTTAATATATAGTATATATATATCCACACACAAATGCATAATACTTAACATAGTAATATCAATGATAGCAAAGTAGAAAATTTTGAAGATTTATTAAACCAAAATTGTTGATTCTTGCTATTTATGCACATTAGGATCTGAAATAAAAGTTAAGACGCAGTTGTTTTCTGTACAGTCGCAAAATTTGATTAGGTGTAAGGAAATTGTTAGATATACTCGCCAGAATTCCCTCTCTAGTTTGTGGTTTTATAATCTATATTCAAATTCAATTCGTAAACTACAGCAGCATATAAGAGAGAGCGTGAGAACTTGATTCTGTAAAAAAAAAGCTCATAAATGTTCAAAATTTCTTGTGTATGATCCCGAACTTGAACTTTTAAGCCAAGTCTTTGTATTTATGAGAAAAAAATGTGTGGCATATGTGAAGTTAAAAAATGTTTAGCTGTCAAAGACATATCCGAAAATACGCCGTAAGCAGACTGCAGTTAATTGGATTTTAGTTGAAATAGAAATGCAAACTTGTATCAAGACGGATTTCATCCATTCATGTTTAGTATTTATGAGTAATTCAATGGCAAAACTTATACAATAATAAAATGAACTATTTTACTAGTAAAATGTAATATATAGAAAGAATCGTGACTTTACTTTTGTAGCTATAAATCAATACGTACATTTTATCATGCATTGTCATCCTTTATGAGATCCTTAGGGATAGATTTCTGATCATTGTTCGGTGTTGCCTTTTGTTAACATATATATAATTATAAATATATAATATAATATTGTAAATACTGCAATATATATACATACATCCATCCACATATATACATACATACATACACTGTAAATCTTAAGTGATTTAGATCTCAAGTAGTCTCATGGATATGATAAATATGTACGAGATTTCGACGCTGAAAATGACAGTTAATATATATTTCCTTGGCAGAAATGTATCCTCCACTTTGATTATAAGAAATAAAGAGAGGCAAGTTATTATCCCAGCACCCTATTATACAATATACTTATCGTGTATAAAAAGCTTACAGTTCATATTGTTTTCGCATTCATGCAAATCTCAGTAAGTCGGAGTTCTGATATACAACGTAGCCTCTTTTAAAACAAAATTGTCCGCATGCACATTGAATTGCTACTTATATTCGAAACTTAATTTGTATCATCGTGATTGCATTCTACAGAAAAGAATTACATTTCTTATTTTCAAGCTATTAATATGTGTGTAAGTGTCAAATGTCAATGTCTTCTATTATTATTCATTAATTAATGTTTTGGATTACATAGATATACTGTTAGGAGGATTGTGTCGCTGCAGGAATGATAGTGTTATTTTACATGAAGTTAGCATTTTTGATTATTTTGCAGACATATACATCAAAAGTACGTCACTTACAGTATTTCGTAATGATTAAGAGCGATCCCTTTTGTCACAATACGCAACAACTATATATCAAAACTTATCACTTATAATTTATGATCATTCACATTAAAGATGCTTTAACGATGTTGACGCGACGTCTTCCAAGAAAACAAAAGTACTTATACCATGTAAATAAGTCTTTGTATTATTTTATGAGGGACTTTTATTTGTGTAGAAGTGTAAATCGCTTCTCATAAAACTATATTTAAAATTTTATAACAGTAACTTGTGCTCTACCCTGTAAATTTCCATTGACAGTACGATATTTGATGTATGAAAAATTAATTTTTTAACAAACAATAATACATACTTATACATATTTTAATACTGATGGGATCGAGGAAGATCAAAAATTACATTAAATCCTTTGCGAAATTGCGAGAATACGATCGACATTATCTTTGTATAGTGTAGGTATTTTTAAATCTGTCTTGTTTCGATAATGATTACAGAAGAATGATCGTTATTTTATAAAAGTATTTATTCTGAATATGCATATAAAATTTTTGCAAGTGTAAATAGAATATATCAACATATAAAAAGTAGCCATTATTTGAATATACATGATGGTATACTCGTAATTCGTAGCCATCGTTTTTTTTTTTTTTTCGTCGGTATTACATATATCCCTTAAAGTTTATAAAGTGTGTGGATTGCGATCGGTTCTGTGACCAAAGATATATACTCGAAAAAATTTATTATTTAATTATATTCTCTACCTAAAATAAATTATAAATAAATAGATTGCGTCTACCTAAATTCAATACAATTTCGAGATTCCTTATTTCGTGTTGCATAAATTTCTTCAATTTTGAGTATTATTATTAGGAATTACTTTAATATAAAATGTCTACTGTGTAGAATTAAATAAGATATTCTGTTTACTAATTTCACTAGTCTGTTATAAGGTATTGTAATAGGAAACTAGCGTCATTGTCTGTCGCTCATGCTATGTATGTTCGCTGGAGTTATATAAAAAGTAGGATGATTCTAAGCCCGAGTGACATTGATATGAAAATTATGTGTGTCAACGCGCGTTGATGTATCTTTTGTTAATTTTGCATGTTCCTCGTGTAGAACGTAGCAAGCGCTCCGCTTGAATTGATTCCGATGTTCCGTGTGAAATGTAACGTTGTAACGTTGTAGTGTTGTAACGTGCGTACGTTTCAAAGATCTGTTTCACATTTCTTTCGAGAGCGTTCTCGTAGAACGTATAAGTACGCGAAAGCTTCTTGACGACAAAACATACTCAGGTCGCACGAAGGTCCCCCGTGAAGTTCCATCAAGAAGTCACCGACAAGATCGTGGCGATCAGACCGAGAGTGGCTCCCGTCATTAGTAGACTCCGCCAGACTGCCCCGCTAACTTCCTCAGCCACGGGGTACTCGACGCACAATTGTTCCTGTAAAACGATAACGCCAGGTTGGTGATGTCTCGTACATTTCAATATCCCTGACAAATATTCGGTAATTGCGCGCACTTACCCATCCGCCGTAGCCTTTGATAAAGTGTGTTATGTTTTCACCAACGTATCTAGAGACGTACAGTGGCAATTTCTTTTTGAGACTGTGCATTCTTCTGTCTCTGGCCCATAAAGCCAATCTGCCCATAAAAGCGTATAAGCAAACGATCCTAGCCCATGTGATAACGCCGTGCAAAAACAGCTCGTTGGCGACCCCCATAAACGTTTCATAAGCGGTGTCCGGGACAACGTTCAAACGATTCACCATACTCGTAAAGAGAATGCTGTGTTTGTTGAGCATTTGATACACGTTGTGCCTCATACTGCGGGAGACTGGGTCCTGGGATATAAGATAGATATCCTCCTTTAACAAGTACCGCATTACGTCATTGGCCAGGATCTCCGCGGTCGATTCTATGGAGTCGTCGTGGATATTGTAACGCGGGGGTGGACCCAGCTGCGGGAAGAGATATTGAAGCCGAATCTGAAAGGACGAGCACAACCTATAGTTAATCACTGGTCTCTGGTCTGATTTTCGTTCTCGTGATCGTCGCGTTTACATTGGAAAACATGCGAAATTAGGAGGGAGTCCAATGGAAACAAGTTTTTTTTCTACATTCGCGACTTATTTCGATAATCACGAGCATTGACAATCAGACCGGCGCGACTCGGCCGCGACAAGCCGTTAACTGCCGATTTACGATACCTGGCACATCTCGAAGAAAGACATAGCGCGGTTAGCAGCGCCGACCGCATATCGGCAGACACCGTCCTCGTTGTCAGCGGTGGCGGCGGCGGCGGCGGCGGCGGCGACGACGGCGGTGGCAGTGGCGGTGGCGGCGGCGGCGGCGGCTCGCTCGTTCGACGAATTCCTGTTACCGGGGGGATCGCATTCCAGAATGCCGCCCACTCTGGAATGCAGTTCCCCTCGCGCTGACGTACCCTGCCCCTCCTCCCCACCCTCCGCGCCGAGGATCTCATTGTTCGTCGTCGTCCCGCCGGCCATCCTCTTCTTGCATACCGGACCGAAACGAGGAACCGTTCCCTCCGTGCGCCACTCCTCGTCTCCGTCGTTTCCGTTTCCCAGCGACGTCTTCTTGGGTCTCCTCGGCGACGCGCCGCTCTCACATTTCATGGTGGTCTGCGAGATCGTCTGGTACATGAATCGATCGCGCCTCCGATGGGGCCGGATGAACGATACTCCGAAAACTTGGATCACGACCGACCGACCGACCGACCGATCAATCGATCCAACCCGGCCAACCAACCGACCGACCGACGGACCGACCAACCGAACCAGCCTGTCAGCCAGCGACGAAACACTCCGCTCTCTACTTTCCCGCGGCCATTTCCGAAGCCGATGCCGAGAAGCCGAAACCGCGCCGCGCCGTGCCGTTTCCTCCGCTCTTGCTCCGCGTCTCGCACCTAACTTCTACCGTACCGCTCCCTTGGCCTGCCTGCCAGCCTGCCAGGCTGCCTGCTTGCCTGCCGCCTGCCTGCTTGCCTGCCAGCCTGCCTGCTGCTTGCCTGCCAGCCTGCCTGCTTGCCTGCCTGCCTGCTTGCTTGCTTGCTTGCTTGCCGATGCCGTCAACCAGCCCCGACCCACGAATGTTTCACATCACTACCACTACCGCTTATCTCGAGACTCTACCCCACCGCGGCCGCGTAACGCCGAGTGCTGTATGACGTAGCTCAGCGTTTCTCAGCGTCGGCGATCGACGGGGAAGCTTGGCGTACGATCGTGCTCCATTTGACGACGCTTGGCCCGCGGTCTCTTGACGAGTCGAGAAACGTATATTGGCGACAAGGATTTCGCGAATATTACGGTCAACTAAAAAAGACGTTACGCGTCGATCGCCGCGGTTCCGCGATTCACGTATATAGAGTCGGGACGATTGAGAGCCTGTGGCGTGAGCGCGGAGCAGCGCCGGGCGATCGCCGTCGGCACTCTCACGAGCGCAGCGCGCGCTACACCTTCGCACACCACCGTAACGGCTCTCTATGGATCATTCACGTTTCCGCCCCACCACCGTGCCGCTCCGACACGTGCACCGTGTGCATACACGCGCGGTGCCGCGCGGCCGTGTGTCAGTGCGCGCCGTCTCGGTCCCTCCTTCGCGGGGCGTACTCGCGCCGGATAACTTCAACCCTTTCTATGTAGCGCACCGCGCTCTTTCACGCACGTGCGCGCGAGCGGGTTTACCTGCGCGGCGTACCTGTGTGGCGAACGGCGGAGGAATGGAATTTTCGATGGAACGCGGAGTTTGTACGAGGCATCTCGGTGCGCGATTGTTACTCCACTCGAGACCCGCGGTAAAGATTGAGAGAGAAAGAGAGAGAGAGAGAGAGAGAGGAGAGAGAGCTAGCGGATCGAATTGAACGGCCGAGATCCTTTGTTGTTACACGTCGGAGTAAACGATCACGTTAGGGATCCGCGTTCGCGAGGAGCCGTATGTAGCTAGACTTGGAGTACCGAGCGCGCGTCGCGACACAAGTATATCTCCTTCGCCTCGAGTCACCGCTTGCGCAACCGTTGAGAAATTTGTATTCATTCAACTTTTCCGCACGCTCCCCTCTCTCCCTCCCGAATTCCTTAGAGGATTGCACGCGCGCGCGCTCGCTCGCGTGCACGCACACTCGCGGGAGATGCATTATTCGCCGACGCGGAGAAACGGTGAAAGTCTCGGCCGCAGTTACCGTAGACCCTGCAAGTAACCGTATAGACAAAATCATTCACAATTGAAGCTAGGCTGAGAATTCTTTACTCGAGCCGCGAATCGGACGCGAAACGAGAACAACAATTCTTGTCCTTATAGTTTTTTCATTAGATTCTATAACGTACGATCATGTTAAAGAATCAAGAATGTCAATCATGTTAAAGAATCTTACAACAGTTGCGAGGCAACTGTTTTTTTTACCGAACGCAAGCATTGTTATACATAATCTATTATACTGTTTATATATAGTCTGTATGCACGAGCTTCGACAAATCCATAAGGTGCGCGACGTGCGATCGGACAAGTCGCGCGGTACAATGGGACGACGCGGGGCATATTCGGTGAATGCGACCGCGAGCGCGCGGGCCAGAGCGGTGCATTTCCACGAAAGGATTATGCTGAAACTGGTTCGCGTTGTCAGCCGATCGTCCGCGCCGGCCAGTGACGTAACCAGGTGAGCGTGCACCCGTGTCGGGGTTATCAATGAATCGGCAAAGTTATATGCACGCGCGGGGGACCAGGCATTCCGTTCGCGCGCGGCGAGCCACTCGGCCGGAGTCGAGTCGGCCTTTCTCGATCGTATCTTTTTCCATGCGGCTGCATCAAATGGGAAAGTTCCTGAGCGGGGCTTCGGCCCGGCGAACGCATGCAGGATTCCATGGCGCGTATACGACATGCAAAGGCGTCTGCGTATGGTTCTCACACACGTGCGCGCGCGCGTGTGTATGTGTCGTATGCCTCCGCACAGCTCCTCTCCCGCGAAGTTTCCCCCCTAATTACATCCCTGCCCGCCTCACCGCGTGCCCGTGCCGCGCGGAGACCGTGCCCACCACTCCTTTCTGCGGTGCAACCTTCAAAGGCCACTGAATGCGTCCATGAATGAAGTAGGAAAGTTGCCGGAGTACCAATCGGCCGGATGTGTGCATACTAGGTGGATAAGAAAACGAGAGCCGTCGCCGCCGCCGCCGCCGCCGCGGCTCCCTACGTCAGAGAGTCGCGCCGCTGTCGATCAAAACCAGTTTCAGATCGCTGCCGGTGATACGGGCTAATTTACCGTATCCGCGATCGTTTTCCGCCCCTTTACAGATATGACTTAACTTTAGAACAGGCTTAAACGCCCGTTCTATTTTAATTGCGGTAACCAGCTTGGTTCCGGAACTACTCGCGAGACAAAAAGAGATAGAGTGAGAGAGGGAGAGGGAAAGAAAATATCACTGATGAAATTCGCAACGCGATGCAGCCGCGTCTGCAAATATTTTAGACAGGCATCGATTCAAAGAGTTCATGTCGGAGGGAATTCATCAGGGAATCCTCCGAGTGCGCTTTATCGGTACGCGATCCGGAGATCTCTGTGACGAAGCGCCTTTCACATCGCGAAGTAGGGTAGCGCGACGCGCCGAAGACGTTGAAATATCTTCACCGGATACGAATAAATTGACGAAATGAGTCATGAGTGTAAATGAGATTTGATAGGGCAAAATTATTTCCGCATGTCGCTCCTTGGAGACCAGGATGGGAGGGAGGGAGAGAAATTCAACAAACTCGCTGCGTATGTGGACGACGTACTTCTAATGATAGGGATCGAGAAGGGTTTACCGCTCACACGCCGCGTTAATCTGATAAATCATTATTATACGATAGTCACTTTGGAATTGACGCGTCGTCGTCGTCGCCGTCGTCGTCGTCGTCGTCGTCGTCGTGCATGCACGATTTTCGTTGCGCGGCTCGAACCGTGGGAATACGATGGCGCGCGCGAGTGAACGGCGCGCAATATTTCAGGGGAACTCGCGTGGCGACCGTCCGCCTCCCGGTAAGCGTTTTCTTACGGTCATTCATGATACTACAATCCGGCAATAGGATGATTGCTTGACGGTCAGTGACTAAAGTGGATATAAAGCCTTCTACAGCAATCTAACACGAGCCAGGACGCAGGAGCGCAGAGGCCGGGCCCATCTCTCGATCTCTTCTCGGTTTCCTCTTCTTTTTTTTTCTCTCTTTCGTATAAAATTGCGAATTGTCGCTCGTCGCGTTGACCGTCATACTAATCGACTGATCGGCCGTCGACGGCACACCTAAACGCTCCCGAGGCTCCAACGAGGATCGAAATGTATTAATCGCTTCGGTTCGCGACAGAAGAGTTCTTATAGACCAGTATCGCTCATCTCGCGATACGAAATATATTTATTCCCTGACGAATTGTTCCACTGAGAGGAACAATTGCTCTCAATCGCATCCGCGGACTGCGAAGGCCGAAAAATTTTCAGTTACAGGCGAGGTGCATGAAATAGTATAGGATTTGGTCCGCCCGATTCCGACGTCCCTGGGATGGCGGTAGTACTAACCCTGCTGAAAGATTGGCAGACACATACTCACCGCGAACTGACCCCTCCGTGATTTAGTTATGTCTCTATGGACGCGTCGCCAAGTCGCGCGTGTTTGACACCACCGTAGAAAGTACAAGTGACAACCACCGCGGTAGACGAAGGTGCTCGGAGGGCTCGTCCACGCCGGTCTGCTCGTGTCTCCTCTTCGTTGAATGAGCTTCCGCTGGTTCGATATCGTCCCGTTTCGAGATATTATGATTAGGTAAGTCCATTATTTGTACTGAGATACTTTGCATTGAAATTCAAGACGTTCCGGAACCACCAAAACACATTTTGCAGAGACTCTTGGACGAAAGAGTCGACTTTTTCCTCGACAAAAACATCAAACTGTAATATTGATGATTAAATCATTATGAAGATTTTAAAAGAGAATTTTAACTGCGTTAAAATTGTTTAAAATCAATCTAAAACTTTTCGAAAAAAAATGAATTTTTAGATATTTGTCAGATTTTATTATAAAGCCTTCCGCTCTCGTTAATACTCTTGCGATACTTTTAGTTGTCTAGAGATATCGTTTGATATCCATTTTTGTTTGACGTCGATTTTTATTACTACTTAACTGCATTCTCCTAATCTTCAACCGCAAATTTTATTTTTACGACAGAAAGTGAACATTTTCTCTCCTTCAATGGAGACGCAACGAACGACAATTTTAGTAACAGCTATAGGCATTCAACAATCGTGCTCCTCGCTAAACGGAGCGAAATTACATTGATAAAGCAATTCTAGGTATACGATTAGGCCTGTGTGAAATCAGTAGTCCAAATATTTGTTACTTAAGAGGCGCACGGTTCGTCGCCGGTTATCTGCGGAAAAAAGCACGGGTAAATTAGAGGACAAAGTCCGAGGACAAAGGACGGTGGGTGCACGATCTTGACGCGCGGGCGCGAAGCGAGAGCACACGGCTTCCCTCCGAGAGACCCCTTTATGGAGCCTCTCGCGGAGTGGCGATCGTCTCGCGCGATCTCGCGGCCTCTTCCTCGCCGCGCGCCGGGAATTTCCTCTGCACGTATGTACTCTCGGACAGCGCCGACATACCCACGCGATGGTA